TGCATAAACTTTTCCAAGGAAAGGTTTTAAGACAGTACAAAGAATGCAGTCTGGGTGAGTTTTTCTTTTTATGTGTGGTGCAGAAGAGAGAGCTGTCCAGAATGACACTAAAATGTTGTGTTTGTGCTCTTCATAAGCCATTAAAACAGTAAAATACGTGTCTCCCGTTCACCAAAATATACCCATCTGTTATGGAAAAGAAAGTATTCTAAAGAGAAAGAAAAAAGAAGAGGGAAAAGATAAAAAGAAGAGGAGGCAGGAAGAAAAAGAAGAGGAAAGGAAGTATTCTAAAAGTAATCTGCCACCGGTACCGGCGGGATCGTGGTCAGTTTCCGATGCGCAGAAGAAAAATCTGGCCCACCCTATATTTTTACAGGCCCACCCTAAAGTAAATTTCTGCCTACGCTACTGGTCCGCACAGCAGCAACAACCAATCACATGAATCTCTTGCCCCCGACACACAAAGCAATAGCAATGTTAAAACTAAGTAAACTGGAAAAAATAAATAAAAAATCCCCAACAGGCGAAAACCTACCAGTTTCACCCACTGTCTCTGCCACCTCCCTCCATGCCTCGCTCCTCTGGTTTGTATCCCGGTAGATGAACAGAGACTGATCATACAGCACCGGGTGATTCACTACCGCCATAATGAATTTTCCCTCACATTTTTCGAATATGAGGAATTACCTGCGTAGTCTCTCCCAACATACACGCGGATTGGCTAGCGCTTGTACCGGCAGATTTGCATAAATGGGATTTGATTGGCTTCCGCCGAGGCGCCAAAAGTTGAACATTGCTCAACTTTTTGAAGCGAGCAACGCCAGCAAACGCTCCACGTCGCTTCCCAAAATACAGTTCTACTAAAAGTGACGTCACCCCATTCAAAGTGAATGGGCAGAAGCGTAACGCACGCCACCGTGTGGACGGGCCGTCACAGTGACTCTGCGCCAGAAACATCAACAAATAAATAAATAACTTAAAAAAAAAATATTCTGGAATATCACCCCTCCACTCCCATTAACATCCCTCAGCTAGCAGCTGCGCTATCTACAGATTCCGTGTTTGTTGACTATCTCCCGTCAGGGCTCTCCCAAGGCTTCAGGGTAGGGGTCCTCCCATCTCCCACAGTGACTTTCGTAGCAAGAAACTTACAGTCAGCCGCTAAAGAACCCAACATAGTTTCCCAGCTCATCGACAAAGAACTTCTCAAAGGATATATAATCGGTCCTTTTAGCTCCTCCCCCTTCTCAGTGTTCCGTTCAAATCCCATCGGAATAGCCACACGTAAATAAAAGGCTGATTTTCGATCTGTCCGCTCCCTGCTCCGGCCCATTCTGCAGCGTCAATAGCATCATCCCTCCAGATCAGTTCTCCCTTCACCATGCCTCAGTGGATAATGCAATAAAGATGATCAAGTTCACAGGGCACGGCGCTCGGCTCTCCAAAGCGGACATTACCGATGCCTTCAAATCATCCCCATTCATCCGTCTCAGTGGAACTTGTTCGGTATTAAGTGGGAGTCCAAACTCTATCTTCGCGTTCGCCTGACCTTCGGGTGCAGAAGCAGCCCCTGCATCTTCAATTCTTTCTCGGAAGCGCTCTATTGGATCCTGCTGAACATCGTCAGAATCCCCTCCGTCCTTCACCTACCGGACGACTTCCTCCCCATAAACCCGCACAGGACAGCTCAGGGATCTCACTGGCCAAGCTTAAACACTGCTTCAGGAGTGAGGTGTCCCTCTCTCCAAAGAGAAAACGTTAGGTCCCGTCACACGCTTAGAGTTCTTAGGCATCATCCTCGACTCCATAGACATGAAGGCGTCTCTCCCCTCAGACAAATCACAGCGCATCCAGGACATCACCAAGTCATACTGCGAGCAACAAGTTATCACAAAACAACAGTCGCTCTCCCTTCTCGTACACCTCAACTTCGCCATGCACGTCATCCCCCAGGGGCGCTCGTTCATCTCCCGCCTCCTGGACGCAGCATCAGCGGTCGACAACCTCCATGACTGCGTTTTCTTAGACGAAGGCTGCCGCTCAGACCTTCAGTTCTGGTCCCTCCTGCTCGCCCACTGGAACGGAATTACTTTATTTTACGATGGCCTCGTGCGTTCCTCTGACTCAATGAGGTCTTCACGGATGCCGCCCATCCATGGGTTTTGGGGGGTTTCTTCCAGGGAGAGTGGTTCGCAGGGTCATGGCCCCGTCAATTTCTACCTCAAGCAAGTTCTCACTAAATCCAGCCTATCACCCATATCATACCCGGGGCATTCCTTCAGGATAGGTGCAGCCACCTCTGCTGCTAATCAAGGTCTCTCTACCTCATCCCTACAACAACTAGGACGGTGGTCCTCCTCCGCCTTCACAACCTTCATTCGTCCGGACATCAGCGCCGTACGGGCTTCCCAAAGATCTCTCAGACCCTAACTATGGTAGTTATACATATAACTGGTGGTGGCTCAAACACATTCACAAGTATACATGTCTCACTAAGGTTCCCGATATTCAAAACTGCATTCCTGTCCTAATTCCGCGGGCCCCGCCCACAGTGAATAATGTCTCGTCTCACGCTGCAACCACATGTAACGGGCTTCATCTCCGGCACACAGGTATTTCATTCCCAGGCCTTGCTCAAACGTATCAGTGTAAAATGTATTTCCTGCAGTCCGCGTGGACTCGGGCCACCGTACACTCCGGTGTCAGTTACAAAGGAAATAAAGAAAGAGTAAAGAAAAAGATATATATATATAGCCTGCGAAGTCAGGCGTGGCGGAAGGCCACCGTACACTTCGGTGTCAGTTACAAAACAAAGGAAAGAGAAAGAAAAAAAAAAATATATATATATATATATAGCCTGCGAAGTCAGGCGTGGCGGAAGGCCACCGTACACTTCGGTGTCAGTTACAAAACAAAGGAAAGAGAAAGAAAGAGTAAAGAAAAAGATATATATATAGCCTGCGAAGTCAGGCGTGGCGGAAGGCCACCGTACACTTCGGTGCCAGTTACAAAACAAAGGAAAGAGAAAGAAAGAGTAAAGAAAAAGATATATATATATAGCCTGCGAAGTCAGGCGTGGCGGAAGGCCACCGTACACTTCGGTGTCGTAGCGGAAGGCTACCGTACACTTCGGTGTCGTGGACGTTGGGCCACCGTTACAAAACGAAACCGCTCGCTCCTCGGCGTAGTCAAGCCCTGCTGGCCAGGCATGCGACCCGCAGGTCGTTTTCAGGTAAGACCGGCACTGATTTCGGCAGTCAGAGTCTCAGCATGACCAGTAAGCTCCGGCAGTGATTCCGGCACAGTGTCGCTCATATACGTGTTAATCTATTATCTCTCCTTCCCAGATCACCAGTCACCCCACAAGGTAAGCAACTCAGTTCATCTCAGTATTCATACTTCACTGGTTTTGGGGATTTCATCGGAGCGGTGCTTTCCCTCCTGAATGATTATCCTGCAAACCGGGGCCTAATCGCCAAACACCATTACATTCTCCTGTTGTATTATCATGGCAATCATTTCATTCATATGACGTGTAAACAATAAATATGTAATTCTTACATCACGTCTCTCCGGTTTGAAATGAAAGCTTTAGCGCAAGTTCAATAAGGAAGACCTAACTCGAGTCACTCACACGTCACTCTATGGCTCCCTTCCCCCCTCATGAAATACGAGGGCGTCACCCCTCAGCAGCCAATCGCTGCACATGCTAAATGCCTTAAATGCCTGCTCTTCCTCCCTGTCAGTTGTCATTGCAGATGATCACACGCAACCCGCCTCCACCCCTCTCGCCTCCTGTCTCCTTCAGGACAAAGCTAAACCTTCCTCCTTCAGACCGGTCTCACCTACTCATCACCACCACCAGTGTCTAGACCCCGGGGATTTCATCGGAGCGGTGCTTTCCCTCCTGAATGATTATCCTGCAAACCGGGGCCTAATCGCCAAACACCATTACATTCTCCTGTTGTATTATCATGGCAATCATTTCATTCATATGACGTGTAAACAATAAATATGTAATTCTTACATCACGTCTCTCCGGTTTGAAATAAAATCATGATGAAAAAGACAGTTTGAGAAACATCACAATGTTCTAATACTGAGACATGATTGAATTACTGTGTAAAGTTATAAGATCAATATAAGATGTTTGGGCTTCACATTTGTATTAGGCTCCCATACAATACCTTGCGAAAGTATTCACCCCTTTGGCTTTTATGCAGTAAAACCTGACATTTTAGTTGATTTTTGGAGAGATTGTAGTATTTGATATGCACAACTTTGAGGACATAAAAAACGATACTGTAATTTTTTTCATATTTTCTTCATATTATAATATATTGTTTTTTTGTATATTTACTAATATATGAAAATATGCAAAAAGCGACAAAGTATAGTATGTCGAAGTATAGTAAGTTGAACATATTAAAAAAACGAGATAGTATAGTATAATATATTAATAAATGTTTCATTTATAAAGAACCAGTTTATGTGGTTGTGTGCGTTAAGTAAATCAGCCTCTGTTCACCTGTTCAGACTATGAGACTACAATAATTGATTATGCTATCCTATTTTCTCTCTTAGTAGAGTGGTGCCCCAACCTTATTAAACGTTATATTAACTACGTAAATAATTCAATCTGCACGAGCAATATATACTACATATGTTGCCCACGTGCGAGGCCCATACATGCTACAAATACTATGTCGTTTTTTGCATATTTTCGACATATTATATACTATGTTGTTTTAACAAAAAATATTGACATAATATAAAATTACTTTTTTGCGTATTTTAGACTTACTATACTATTTATATTATGTAAAATATCTTTACACAATTACAGCATGGTTGAGCAAGGGAGAGTATCGACTCGAGAAAGAAAGGCTGTTTCAGAGTGATTTCATGTGCCGAGTCAGGGTCGCAGTTTCTCCTTACTTCCAGGCTGGAATAAAAAAAATATATATATAATAAAATATAATAAAAACCAATGCAAGTTGAAATTAGTAGAAAAATTACTTTAATCTTCTTAATTTATTATGAACAATAGAAAATTCAACTGCAAAAACAAGAAGGGAAAAAAGCATCTGTACATTGGCTTAGCTTCAATACAAATGCAACATTATGTTCAAATGACATACTTCCAAACACTCCATGTTATGGCAGTTCATCAAAAAAATATAAACAATCTAAATACACTTTTTACAGAATGAACAACAGCAAAAGAAAATATCAGTGCTGTGAGTTGTAAAGATATGAACAAGACAACAAACTGACATCAAGTCAAAAAACCTCGTATAAGATCCAGGGAACCTCGACCAACATGTGCAACAACGACGTAACAAACGGCAAATTACCTTTTACTTCAAATATAAATATGTACGGCACAAATATGTAAAAAAAGCGACACAATTCTTGTAGACATAGCTGTTTGTAGCTTTGTTTGTTCCTGTGGGCACATACAAAATGAAAAAAACAATTGTCCATGTGGAGCTTTTCCTCCGAATCGAGTTTCCTCTCCGTCCAATAGGGTCAGCTCGATAGGGACCTGCTTCTTCTGGAGAATTCTCTGTTTGTTGAGCTAAAGCTCTCCGGAGGTTATCATATTGATGACAATCAGAGCAAAACAGATAAAAGTCATTAAGCCCACCACAGGGAACCAGACTCCCCTCACTCCACTGCTAATTTGGACGAACAGAACGGGGGCAGCTACCACGGTAAACAGTGGAGTCTTCAATATTTTTCTAACCGAATAAGCCTTTTGGTAGGAGGACAATGTTTGGCAAGGCTTTTCTGTTTGAACAGTGAATGGGGGGGGGTTGTCAGGGGAAGACATGGTGCCAGTCTCCGGATGATTCAGGAACTACCTCCAGGTCGAGGTCGGGCGTCACCTCCACCTGAGACGCTGATTCTTCTTCGCCCAGGGTCACATCATGGATCTGACCTGGAGGGAGGAAGAGGAATAATTGAAGAATGAGAAGGGTGCACTAAGAGTGCACTAAGAGTGCACTCCTTGAGATATGTAATAAAAGTGCTTAGTAAACCAGAAGGAACAATTCCATTAAAATGCATTTACAGTGCAGCAGCTCGGATTCTGTATTCAATTTGCCAGTGGCTGTCACCCAAATGAGAACATTATTCAGAAAGCAATTCCCCCTCCTCGTTTTCCAACATTTCTTTTAATTTCTCACATTTTCCGTTCTCTGAAAATGACACACAAACTACATAATAGGACGTTATAGTTGTGGAATATGCTCGTTGTGAGCTTAAAATATAATGTGTGCTTATTAAGTTGACAATATTGAGAGAACAAAACACGATTAGTCACTTTGGAAAAGGCTGAGAGATTCAGACATCTTTTTCTGCTGCTCCAGGCCAAGCACTGAATAGAGTTTTACAGAGGGAGTGTTTTAATGATCTCCCTCTACTGTTGCTGCTTATATCTGAAACCCGTCTTTAAAGTGGACCTATCATGCTATATTTGAAACATATATTTTAGGGCCATACCTATATAAAACATATAGGTTTTTTTTTCAAAATCCCAAACAGATCACCCATTGTAGCCATGCCTCATACTGCTCAAACCCCTCTTTTGAAGCCCTGTTAGAGAAATGCAGATTTTGGGTCCTTAGCTTGAAATAAATAAAGAAGAGGAGGCGGAGCTAATGCCTGATCAGAATTCTACCGGAGATAAAGTTAAATTCGGTTGTGATAAAGCGCCATCCTGTTTAAACCACATCAAAGATTATTTCTGAAACCGTATGGAGCTCAAATGTTTTTTCTCTTGCAGGTTTATCACAAGGTGAATTCCTTTTTTTATTTCCTGCTTTTTTAAAAACACATGTGCTATCCAGTACATTTTAGCTCTGAGTGTTAGCGAGGCTTGCTAATGTAAACAAAGACGTCCAAAACACGTCAGGCATTGTTTCCGATAGAAACTTTTTGTGGGTCTGCCGCCAAATTCACGTCAGTTCGGATGGAATCTGTATCCGCTTGTTGTACACCCGTTTTTAAAAGATTTGGGTACGGAGGAAAAGAGAGAGGGTTTTATTTTCTGACGCTGCGTGAGTTCCCCGACGCACCGGGGACACATATTTATGTATACAAGACATCACAAAGTGCATTTTGCATGATAGGTCCCCTTTAAGTTGCAAGCACATGAGTGTGTGGGAAATAGCTGTAAGCGGAACAGCCACGCAACATACTGTAGAGACAAATACAACAAATGTGAAGGATTACTTTAAATGTTTTTTACTAAATCCTACATTACAAACGGGCCTGGAATCATGAGCAGTCTACAGGGAATTCTTAGATCCTGGTTTCCCAGGAATTCCTGTCAAAACATAATTGAGTTTCTCAGGAAAAATTCCTCCACGATCCCTAGAGTTTTAGCATGTGTGTGCTTGTGTACATTTTTGCACAGAAGAATATTGCATGATCTGAAAGATGACTATGATTGTAGATAAAGTCCAACCTTAAAGGGGCCTTATTATGCAAATGTTGAGGTTCATATTTGTATTGCAGTGACATGTCTCCATGCTTTAATGTTCAAAGACTTCTTTATTTTTCTCATACTCTCTCTGAAACCAGAGCCCAGTCTGCTCTGATAGCTGGCTGGCTTTGTTGTGATCGGTCAACCGCTTAGAGATGTCCCGCCCCTTACTGTATCACATACAAAGTGTTGGAGCACTAGCCAATAGAAGTTTGATGTCACTATGTTACGGAAGTGAACAAAGGATTAAAATGGATGTGTTTCAGGCAGTGGAGGGAACTTTGGGATTTCTACCATTTGCAGACCATTTACATGCACCAGAACCTTTAGAACACCCTCCAGGAAAGCCTATAATGCTACGTTCACACCGGACGCGATGCGAATATTCGCTTCGCTCTAATCGCTTTCACCGCGGCTGCCAGCTGTGTTTACTCGCATCATTCAAACAAGACGCGCTGGCTCGGGAGCTAACTACAACAAAATTAACATATTTTACCGTGATTAAATTGTAATACACGTTTCTAAATGATGCCGAAGTAACAACATACTGATAACGGTTAGTAAAAACCATGAATTAATGCTTGACAAGTCTGCAGACAAGACGGCAGGCGAAAAACCTTTTGAAATGCTTGTTTTCTGAATGGAGATTGGGTCGACCAGGCTAAGCTAACGTTGTATATATATAAACGTTAGCTTAGCCTGGTCGACCCAATGCTCACTCCACACTCATAACAACGGCCTACAGACAAATAAACCAGCGAATGTATTCGCCATGACACAGACAGTCTGTGGTTTGTACTTGTTTAACTTTTGTCCAGTTTCTGAACAGATATGAGGAGCTGTGATCTCTGTGTGCTAACTGCTAACAGCTAATGGCTGATGTTTTCTGGTTGAACGTCAGTAACGGCAGGCTGAGATCCTCACCGCTGATTGGCTTCCGCGAGAACGCGTCATGTGAATTTGACGCTCGAGTTGAAAAAATTGAACTCTCGCGTTTGACGCGGCACAGTTCAATCGCGTGATTCGCGCCGCGTCCACCGCTTCATGCTCGCCGTCGGAGCGAATTCGCATCTGTCCGCGTCTCTGCATTGACTTTACATGTAATCGCGCCACCCCCAAACATCGCATCGCGTCCGGTGTGAACGTAGCATAAAAGCATAATAGGAACTCTTTAAAGTGCTACATCTTAGTAATATAACAGGAATCCTCTGCAGTGTTTTTGTCGACTTTTGTACAATTCAGCCGTGCGTAAGAATATTTTTTTGTTTGAGGTAAAGAAAAGCGTTCAAACTATAAAAATATACTATGCAGACGGTTTAGTCGCTGCAGTTTCATTAATGACCAACTTTTCCTCCCTTTATACGTTTAATCATGCTAATCTGAGGTAGGTACTTGGCTGTAAAACCTGTAAGAAAAGTGGAGAATTTTCCATCTAGCGTGTTATCATGCAAAGATTTTCTAATTAGTTCTTGGTTGTGCTGTTTTTTTCCAGGACTTTAGAAAACCCTGAAAAAGTGTCTAAAACTCTCTAAATCTGGGCATTATTCCCATCGACTTTACAGAAGCTGATGTTCAAGACATGCCTTTTTTGAATTTAAGTACTCCAATCCAGTGGGGGAGAGTGGAAGCCTCTGTCGAAGTGTTGAATAAATACAACAGATCTTCTCCTCCTCAGGTTATTGTCAGTAAGTGCCTGGCAGCCTCGAGGCTGGGTGTTAGAATGGAATAAATAACAATACGTGTGAGTGTGTTGGACGCACCATTAGAGAGCCGTAACTTAAACCTGAATCATAGCACTCAGAAATGATTTTGCATTCATGATTAGCCTCTACAGACATCAAAAAGGAAGACGTTCAGGGCGATCAAAGTCGATGTCATCATCTTTTTCAACAATATCATCGAGATGGAGAGCGTGTGTGTGCATGCACATTAGTGGTGAGTGTGTGGGTGACTGGCATTCTCAGCAGATAATGAAAAGGATCATCAAGTGAAAAGCAGCAAGAGACTTAAGACAGAGAGATAGTTAACGTTCAACACTGTGCTCAGGGACACGTGTGCATGGACTGTGTAATGAGGGATGTGTGATGGCCCCTCGAGACCTCAACAAACACCTGCACAAACACAACAAGGTGGACTTCATTATAAAAGGCTTATCCATCCTGAGACTTTTGGAATCAAGTGGACTCAGTTGATTGAGAGACAAGTACGGAAGAGGATTAGAGCAACGTGATTTTTCTTTTTATAATCTGACCAAAAGCCATGTTCATTTTTCTGGGAGACATTTTTGAGAAAAAGGAAGAATTCTAAGACTTATTCTGCAAATCTGTATAGGATTACATTCAGAGTTCTGACTTTTTTTCTCCGAATCCTGACTTTATGTCCTTAATTTAGACTTTTTCTCAGAACTAAAAAAAGAACAAAAAACGTTTGGTCATATCTAAAAAACAAACAAATGGGCCTAATCCCATTCCGTAGACAAGAGAGGGATGACTACTGTTTTTTGGAGTATTTCTAGTCGTTTGAGTGACGATGCCAGTCAAGTTGCTCACCGAAGCTGTGGGATCTCTTCATGTGGTGTTTCATGTTGCTCTTCTGGGTGAATCTGATGCTGCACACCTCACACTTGAAGGGCTTCTTTCCAGTGTGTTTGACCATGTGGACCTGCAGAGCACTCTTCTGGTTGAAGGCCTTGTCGCACTGACTGCACTTGAAGGGCCGCTCGCCTGCAACAAAAAGAAAAAAAGGTTTATTGATAATTCACTGTTGGTATTTGCGTGAAATTGTGCTATTCCATTTTAAAATCCACGTTTAGTACATTGTGTTGATTAAAAAAATATTCCTGTGTCAGTGTTACTCATAAATGCACAAACCTCTGTTGTTTTACCTTTGTGAGAAAACCCTGCTACTGCCTCATGTTGTCTTTGAACCTTTAGCTACACTATTCATCTGTATCATATGTTTAAAAATTACTATATCATCTACAGGGTTGGGAGGGTTACTTTGTAAATGTAATCAGTTACTGATTACTGATTACATGGCTCTGAAAGTAATCCGAATACAGTTACAGTTACGTGTCTTAAAAAAGTAACGTAATCAGATTACTTTTAGATTACTTTTGGATTACTTTCTTTTTCCATCACAGATGGGTATGTTTTGGTGTACAGGAGACACAAAAAGCAAAAGGAATGTGTTTTTACTGTTTTAATGGCTTATCAAGAGCACAACTGAAACACAACATCTGAAACGATGTAACAACATAATTAACTTTTTGGGGATGCAGTTTGGGATGTGAGGAGTGAGGGACACGGCTTAGAACGAGCGTGTCGCCTTCTGTCCTGCCAGTGTTGGCAGGACATGAATTACAATGTCAAACTCGGACTTCATTTTAAGGACATTACGGCCAGGGGTGTAGAGCTATATTTGTTTAAGCACCGGATTGGCAAAACAGGAGAGTGTGTGCACCAGTCTGCCTTGATCTATGAATTCATGTCCGTGACTCTCACAGTATCTGCTGCCCGCAGCTGTTTTATAGAAGGAACACCTCCTTCACTTCATGAAATCTCTGCAGCACCAGGAGGCAGCGGGAGGGTTAACTCAGCCTCTGAGAAGACGAGCACGCAGTGCCTTTCACGCACCGCCTTCACCGTGTTTACCTTCAGAAATAATCATTAGTAAGGCTAAAGAAAGAGCGACCGCAGGCTGATGTGTTTTAACCACACACACGCGATTTAAACGCAGACTTGTGTTCCTCCATGTTTCGCTGTTATTGTTTCACTGAGCGGACCCGCGATTTTTTTTCAAACGCTTTTTTGGTCCATCTGCGGCGGTAATAGGTTTTGTGGGCTGTGATGATTCGGCTGTACCTTTAGTAATGAATATTAAATGTTGTGAGGAAATCTTTCCACCAATAATTCCAATAAGTAATCCAAAATGTATTCACTTCAGGTTTACGAAAGTAACTGTAATCAGATTACTCGTTTTTCAAATGTAACGCGAGCTGAATACAGTTACTTGATTTTTGTATTCTGATTACGTAACGCCGTTACATGTATTCCGTTACAACCCATTCCTGATAATCTATAGATACACCAGGAAGGCAAGGGATCCTATTCAAAAGTAATCCTTGGCTGCACAGCTAAAGGCCATTTTGTATTCAATGCACATTCATTGGGCTACAGATAAAGGTGGGAAAATGCCTGGAAAAAAATCCGAATGATGATGGGTATGAAATGTTGCTTCTTGAGATAAAATACAAAAGTATCTTAATGGTTTTTAAATGGAGAAATTATAATGGTCCATTTATTTACATTGAAACCTGATAATAAGTATGACTGGGTGCTTAGGATTTCACAGAGATATGAGGTATTTCAGGAATGCTTATTTTTCGTCTCAGGGAAAGCTATAAAAAAACCTTATGTGTTCATGTTTTCATATTCTGTTCATTTTACTCTGTTTTCCATAACTCTTTAATTTGAACACAGTTATTTGTTTCACTAGTCCAGGGGTGGCCAACCCGCGGCTCTCGAGCCGCATGCGGCTCTTTGCCTAGTTTCATGCGGCTCTTCAGTTCATATCGAATTTTATATGTGTGAGTTTGGGGGAGAGACACTGACTCCTTACTAGTGTTGCACGGTGTACCGATACTTGAAAGGTACCGCGATACCCTGCCGTTAAAAACGTTACGATTCCTCCGTTTCATTAGTATCGGTACTTTAAGAATGACGGGGAAAAGTACTCCGGTGAGAAAGCGCCGTTTTAATAAGAGCCGTGTGTGTTCAGCACTCTGCTTCCACTCCCTGCACTGCAGCCGTGCCTGCAGTCCCTCCCCTCTCAAGCACGCTCTAAGTCCCTCCCCTCTCAAGCACGCTCTAAGTGCCTCCCCTCTCTCGTGCACGCGCTAGCTGCCAGAGCATGTGAGAAAACGAGAAGCATGGCTGCAAGTGGGAGTGCAACTGCCGCTGCGCCTCGGCTTGTTGACAAAAAAGACGCCAGGAGCGAAATTTGGAAGTATTTGAGCTATATCTCTGACAGTGAGGGCAAGCCTACGGACACCACGAGGCCTGTCTGTAAGACATTTATTAATTGTATTTAATACGAATTCTTGTCATTTATTTTATTTATTGTTCTCATTATTTAAACGTTTGTGTTATGGTTCTGGTGTGAAATAAAGCACAATAATTACATTTAAGACCGTTTCCCTTTTTTTAAGAAAATATCGAAAAAGAATCGGAATCGCAATTCTTGACTTGGTATCAAAACTAAAATGTTGGTATCGTGACAACACTAGCTACTCCTGACAGTTAAACCTGATATTTAGTATCTGTTAAGTATTGAATGCTGATAATTCTGACGTAATTTGGCCGGTCAAAGTTGTTTGGGCTCGGATAAAATCGCTCCATTACTTTCGTCCCGTGTTATGTATGTTGTGTGTCAGTGTGAGAGGATGACAGCGCGTATAATTTTGATGTGGCCCAAGAGCCAATCACAATAATACCTGCGATGCAGTGAACCAATCACCTTTGAGGGGGGGGGGGAAACCTATCGTTGATTAAACATTATCCAGTGTTTCCCCTGCCATTGTCTTGGAGGGGCGCTGCGCCCCGCCAACGGAGCCCCGCCAACGGAGCCCCGCGCCCCCCTGAAATTCAAGGTGTTTAAAAAAAATATATATATATACTTTTTTTTTTTAATATATATATAGCACCAAATTGCAAATAATCTATAACTACTGTCACTTTTCACATTGAACATGTGCTCTTTTATTAAATAAACTAAACGCTTTCATTTTAAGTTGTGAGTTTAGTGTTTTTGACCCTAAGAAACACTGATGCATTAATCAATAACAATAATCCACAGCTCCTCTCTCTGCTCCAGAGGATTTAAAAAAAAAATATCCCAATGCCACAAAAATGCACAAGTGACGTGGTTGAAATCAAAAAACTGAAACAAGCGGTATCAGTGACTGTGTGTTTGATGTGGCTCTTTGCAGTAACATAGAAAAAATGTGGCTCTTAACCTCTGACTGGTTGGCCACCCCTGCACTAGTCGATCACTACTTTATGGGTAGTTGGTCTCAGAGTGCAGAAGAATTGCAATTCTTCTTTCCAAACCAGCAAAACATATTATCATAAGCATGTTAATGTAGTCATTCACTGTGGTATTTCCAAGCGGCAAACTCTGGAGAAGGGTCTAGCTGCGGCCGCGGCCAGTACACGATGGTACACGACACGCCCACCTGACACGACACTACGGTGGCTGAGAAGGGTCTAGCTGCGGCCGCGAAAAGTTGTACTTCCAAATATGGTCAGAAGAGAGCACGCCCAACACGTGAGGTTTAGAGACAACAAACAACATGGCGCACCGAGTACAGGTACTTACGTATTGTGGTTTTAGATATAATTACATACTATTTAGGTTCTCGTTTGTTTGTCGATGTGGCTGTTTAGCGCAGTGTAATTGTGTTTATTTTGCTATATATATATCTTAGCTTGACATGCTCGACGTTCAGTTAACTTAGCATATATGCTAACTGAACATGCATGTACTCTAATTTTTACAAGAATCTGATTTTATGTAAGTTTTAAATATTAATTGAAGGTGTCTTTCACATTTGAATGTTTTTTATTTAAAAACATGTATTAGCTCTTATACTGTAGACATGTAAATATGTATAATTATTATTTTAAGTGTGGTTTAAAGTTAAATGGTAGTTATTGGGTAGAGCCAAGTAACCCAGGTGGATGCAATCAGGTAATTAGGACAGAGCCTCTGTTTTTAGATGGGGTTTATGCTGTAGGCCTGACATTTAAACTAGCTGAAGGGCTTTCTGTTCGAACCACAGTGAAATCTAGAGGTTGTTTTGTGCATTAAAGGGTTACCTTCTGAAAGTGAGGAAGTATGACCAGCTTTGTCCCATAGGATTATACAGGCCAGTCCATTGCTGCTTGTTTAAGGAGTTAACTATTTCCAATATTAAAGTCACTTAAATTGTATTCTATTTTATTCACCTATAGACAAACAACACAACACTACGTGATGGAGCACGCCCAGAGCTCAACAAATTGGACTCGGACACCTTCCAGTGTCCATTTTGTGAAAGGACCGGGTCACACCCAGCCGTCACGTGTACATTATGTCTTGCATGTGCTAATAAAATTCTCATTACAGTATGCCTGGTATTTTGCCATGGAGGCCAGCTTTGACTTCAGCATTGTAAGTATTAAGGAAAGAAGTCACATTAAAATGCTATAACAAACTTAATGAAAATTGATGCTCTTTCTTTAGCATGACATGTCTCTCCTGAGAAGGTGGTGTGTTATCCTGGTGGAAAACTTTGGACTGGAAGGGTATGCTGCAGTGCTACAAAAACATTTGAATTTGTAATTGTATTATCAAGAAGATTTGGGGGGAACACCTGGCTCTAAAATTCAACCTTCTGGTGAAGAAAATGTGTCTTAATTGCAGGTATGGAAAGAGGTTTGCTCACTATAGTGAGGAAGGCAGGGCGACCCTTAGCGACAATGTCCCACGTACATTCAGGATCAGTCGTAAAGGACACATGCAAGCAGCACCATGGTCAGTGTATCGCTCAACGTATCTATGACCCTGTGTGCCTGTTTTCAGAATGGGTTACTACTCCTAAAACACATACTACATAGAACTTATGGTACATGCAACATTTGTTTTGTGTGGTACTGTGTCATTCTGAATCGAGCCTGGATCATTTTTGGAGGAGTTAAACCGTGCATGTAAAGCACTGTCAAAATAATGGTTGACTGTCTACAGATGCCCCTGGACACTGATGAGGACCACTCCTATAACAAGAGGCCTTACAGCTTCCTTCCTAAAGAGTCGGTTAGTGAATGGACACATTAAAGTGTACAACCCCTGATGCATGTGATTTTATAATATTACATATGACTTCTTTATACCATCTAGTCTTATCAGTAAGATGGAACTTTGTTCTCATGACCTCGCCAAGAACATGAGTGAGGAAGCGCACCAAAGGCTGAAGGACTTGTGAAAGATTCCGAGGAGTTTATTATTTATTCAATATTTTTTTAAGTTGACCAGCTCTGATTTTCCATTTGATGTTCTGTTCAATAAATGTTCATTGAGGAAAACGGTATCAGTGTCATATTTTATATACATCACAGTGAATGCTGAACTTGCCTGACCATATACTGCAGTTGAAAGTACACAATGAAACACTGGCTCAATCAATACAATTCCCACATGCTCTACCCCGGAACCTGCGGTCTTCAGACTCTGGCCCCCCGCACCAACCTGCGATCCTTCGGGGACAGAGCCTTCAGTATGGCAGCCCCCACTCTCTGGAACGCTCTCCCTGCGGAGATCTGCAACATCCCCACGCTTGATGCCTTCAAAAGGGCCCTCAAGTCCCATCTGTCTGCCAAGGCCTTTGGCCCCAAATCTATTTGTTGTTTTGTCTGACTGCCTTTTGTTATGTTTGTTTCTACTCCTGTTCTTCTTTTTAAAGGGACCTTGGGTCTCATGAAAGGCGCTATATATATCCCATTATTAATACATCATTGGTAAGCATTTTTACAATATTCTGGCTTTCACTGTTCAAATGAGATGTCAACCATCAAAATGGGATAAGGGGTTCCAAGGGGTTCTCAAACGGATAGGTTATTAATTTATTTGCCTAATAGTTGCTTAAAACGGATAGGTTATTAATTTAGTTGCTTAAAACGCCTAATAGTTGCTTAAAACGGATAGGTTATTAATTTATTTGCCTAATAGTTGCTTAAAACGCGTAATAGTTGCTTAAAACGGATAGGTTATTAATTGAGTTGCTTAAAATGCTACAATAACATGCCATGTACGGTCTCCACCGTAGGCGGCGTAGTTGTCGTCAATTCGCTTTTCTTCTGCCATGTCTCTCAGCCACCGTAGTGTCAGGTGGGCGTGTCTAATAGTTGCTTAAAACGGATAGGTTATTAATTTAGTTGCTTAAAATGCTACAATAACATGCCATGTACGGTCTCCACCGTAGGCGGCGTAGTTGTCGTCAATTCGCTTTTCATCTGCCATGCCTCTCAGCCACCGTAGTGTCAGGTGGGCGTGTCGTGTACCGCCGTGTACTGGCCGCGGCCGCAGCCGCAGCTAGACCATATTGAAACTCTGGGGAACAGCCGGGACGCCAATACGGAAGTGCCACACACTGCAGTTCATACATGGGCCGCTAGGGACTGGCTGCAGAAAGGAGCAATTTCCATAGACCCCCATGTTAAAATGCCCAACTTTACAGCAGAAAAAAACATGTTTCTACCCATGGATGCAATAAATATTATTATCGATATAGTTAGATTCCACCTTCATGATTATGAATCTGTGAGTGAATTGTTTTCTAACACGACCCTTTTATTTATATTAGGTCTTACAGTTCTTGCATAAATTAGGGCGTGGTCACTTTGATGGACACGTACATGCCTCACTGTCAGCTAACAGCAACTTGTCCACTCTGCTAGGCTACAACCATAGAGGCTACAACGTTAGTTAGTCATAGTACTGTACTTGACCCTTTAGCTTTAGCCGTGTTCGTGGTGATTGTGCCTTTTAGGGAATATTGTTACAAATACCAGACAATTAAAATGTCGTGCTGTGCGCTTGAATGTACTAACAGAGATTCCAAGAAGTCTAAAATGATAATATTATACATGTTAACCTCGTTCGCAGGTGTTTGTGTGCTTGGTAGCTTAGCTTGTTACTTATTAGCCAGCTAAGGACGTAACCCTTTATGCATACATATACATTTTAGTTTATGATTCAGCCTTGGGTAAGACTTTTATAGTCTATGGCTATGACGCCCATACTGCTAAACGGGAGCAAATGTTAATAGGGGACCCGATTATCCCAGTGGTGGCCGCCGGAGCTAACGGAGCCGCAGGGGGCTAGCCCACTGCGGCTCCGTTAGCTCCGGGCGGTGGAGTCCGTCTTTTCTCAACGTGTGAATGACAAGCATTAAGAACATATAGCTAATTCTCTTGCAGATCGTCTCATTTGATTATGAATGTAACGTTTATATAGGGGAACTACACTGTTAGCAGTAACTTGGTATGCATGTATTTCATGTTAGCTTAGCTTCTTAGCCTGAGCTAGCTCTGTTTACTTCCAGTTCGGAGGCAGCAGGTCCCGCCTCGGCTCCGCCTCTTTGCCCTTATTTGGAGCAGGCGGGATTAGACTCTGACGTCACAGTCGAGCCGTTAGTGGCCGACTCCGCCTACTAAGGGCTTCACGGCAACTCTGCAGAATCCTGTGGGTGACGTCACGGACCCTACGTCCATTTATATATACAGTCTATGGGTATTTCTGACACAGTAGTAGGCAGTTCCTACAGCAAGTTACATACACCCCTGATACAACACATGTAGACAGCAGTGTTAAACGTATTGTAGATTTAACCAACATGTTTCCATGGTGCTCAAATGTTTCTCTCCATTCACGTCCCCACATTTCACAGATGCATGAAACCAGCTTTTATAACAGCAATAACACAGCAAGCTAGAAAGTGATGGGGCCTCATGGTTAATATTAAATTAATAAAAAATACATTATGAAAAAAAATACGTATTTGAATAACTTATATAAGATGGTCCAATAAATAAACAAATAAATTGTGAAATAATCAGTCCGTAAAGCTTGTTTTCATAACATTTTATTTAAATGATTTAGACATTAATTAATTTAATTATAGAAATGTAATATGTGTTTTTATTATATAATAGTGTGTCACCATTTATTAATATCTATTTATCAGTGTGTAACATTTAATTGTTATGCATTTATTTATGTAGTTTTTGAGTGTGTGACATTGTATTTATTTATATGGAGTCAGATTTGGGTCAATATTCTAGCGCGTAAAACAAGCTACTCACGAGCGGAAAATGTGCTTTTACACGCGCATAAAATGACCCTCGCGTGCAGATTAAAACCGCTGTGAGACAGCCCTCTTGCTCGCTCGTGGGAGTATCAGCCTCGCGGAGTCTGTCTACGCGCGCGTGAAAAGTTTCTGGCACTTTGGGGCGGAGCCACTGGACTTTGATTGACAGCTGCCAGGAAACCCGGAGTTGCCAGGTTTGATAAATGCCTGAACTATCAAGAGCCGAGGAAATCTCGTCCAACTGATTTTGCTGCCGCAGAGCCGCTCGCGGGGGTTTAATCTGCGCGCGAGGGTCATTTTATGCGCGTGTAAAAGCACATTTTCCGCTGGTGAGTAGCTTGTTTTACGCGCAAGAATATTGACCCAAATCTGACTCCATAATTTATGGTGATCACTTCCCCTTAACATTTCAAGCAATAGGCCGTTTCTCAATCTCGAGGATACTGGCTTCCAAGCCAATATTTCAAGGATGCTACGTCATCGAGTGCCGCCGAAGTACTGTTCCAATCTCCAGCATACTTGGAATTCCACAGAGGCCGCGTCCTTGGTTTGGGGGAAATTTCGAGGCTGCAAATGGGTAGACTTCGCGTCCATAAAATCCCCACAATGCTTTGCGCACGGACCAATTTCAAAAACCCTTGCGGAGAATGGCTGAACTGACGCAGCACACATTTAAATAGTATGTAGTGGCGTAGAAAATGTGTAGTGTTGGTAAATGTGTTACTTTGTTAAATTTGTTACCACCATAAATGTGTTCCGTGAAAGTAAAGCAAGTTCATAATTAGATAGACATCGTGAGGTATTTATTTTCGGTACAGTTTATGTTGAAACCGTTAGAGAGAGTGGCACACTTGTTAGCCTGTTCCATTCTTCTTCGTTTTCCGAAGCAGTGGCTTGGAAGTATACTTGCTTCGTTTCTGAAGGAAGTGACTTGGAAGTACGCGACTACCAAGCCAGCATCCTCGCGATTGAGAAACGGCCATAGAGTGCCACAGTGACGCGTCCTAAAACCCGGAAGTAAACTCCTTCCGGTTCCTTCGACAAAAAACCGATGCAATTTCTCAATAGGATTTTGGAAAATAGCTCGAAATAAGGTCTGTGGTTGACACGTTTTGTTCAGCCGGATAATATCCACATGTCTACCCTACTTTTATAATTTTCCAATCATAAATCTAGTCGCAAGAAGCAAAATGCTAATGTTATGCTATAAATGAACTACAGCAGGGTAGCTGCTTCAACGTAACACCAACTTAAGATCCATATTCAAAATAACAGATTCAAAATTGTACAAGTTGAAGCGTTTGTTTGAACAGTTTGCAGGAGGCAGGTACTTGCTTTCAAGCAGAACACGGGGGGAAACAAACTTAGCGGGAGTAATGACGTACAACGGCCTCGACAACTTCTGTAGCAACCCAGTGGCCGTTTCTCAATCTCGAGGATTCTGGCTTCCAAGCCAATATTTCAAGGATGCTACGTCATCGAGTGCCGCCGAAGGACTGTTCCAATCTCCAGCATGCTAGGAATTCCACCAAGGCCGCATCCTTGGTTTGGGGGAAATTTCGAGGCTGCACATGGGTAGACTTCGCGTCCTTAAAATCCCCACAATGCTTTGCGCACGGACCAATTTCAAAAAACCCTTGCGGAGAATGGCTGAACCGACGCAGCACACATTTAAATGTAAGTATGTAGTGGCGTAGAACATGTGTTGGTAAATGTGTTACTTTGTTACATTTGTTTGTTATCACCAAAAAAACTTGAACAGCTGAAGGTTGATTCAGAATGAGTTGCTTTATTGTTACGGGAGCTAAACAGGCTAATTGCTAAAAAAAAAAGAAGCTAACTACATAATTTTGGATACATGTTGATTTTATTTGCCTCACTGTGATTGACAGATAAAATAGGTGGCCAAATATTTGGACTGCACCTATGGCCTGCTTGTAAAGTTGCTACATTACTATAAATTACGTTACGTTTAATTTGTATATTTTATGATGTCATCATGCAACTATTTACATCCACCATATTGTATAAAAAACAAAAAATTAAATAATGAAGACAAGTCTATCTTAACTGACTCTAATTACCTTTATCATTAACTATTTTAAAGTGGAAACTATCTCATCAATAAGCATTTAAATCAATTTTATAAAAAATCTTTCTATGAAGGCTGATCCATATCCATATTAAACTCAACATTAAAACAGAAGGGGACAGTAAGATAATCATATAATCAAATACAATTTAGATTTTGGTAATGACTATGCACTGTGCAAATGTGTTCCCTTAGCTCAGTGGTTCTCAAACTTTTTCTCTTTGGAGAAAAAAAAAGTCGAGACCCCCCCAACACAAATAGTCAGGCTCAGTGGCGGCGCCAGAGATTTATTTTGGGGGTACTGTGGGGTAGCTTGACGTTTCATAGAGGGTGCTCAAACATTTAGGGTTTCCCATTAATGTACCGGGCGCTACAGTGGAATTTTCTACTGCAACAATCCCCACGCATATACACAGTGTACCCGCAACTGTTACAATGAAGGCTCGATAATCAGCTCACGGCATATAGGTGTAAGCAGGGGGTGCTATTTTTACAGGTGGTGTGTGGACCTCACCTCCTCTAGGGGGGTCCGGGGGCAAACTCCCCCGGAAAGATTTATTTTTAAATATTGAAGTTAAAAGCATCAATCTGGTGCACTTTGAGAGCAAAATGAAGAGATCTATGGATACCTCTCTCAACACCCATATGAAACAGAAACTGTTAACAGATTTACTTTTTCTTTATGGATATTTTACAAATCACCCTTTTAAACTTTATTCTTGTTTTACTGTCGTATCGTAATTTCATACCTGTTTTTCATTTATTCTCTTATTTTTTATAACTATAATGATCATATAAACGTGTGCCTCGGAAATAATTGTTTACATTAATGGTGACCAAAACATTTGAGACCCACTGAGAGTCCTTTAGCTCACTGAGCCTCTCAGTCTGACAGGAGAGGACTCTCCTCCACTTTGTTGTTGAAAAAAACTCCTTATATCTGTTAGCGTAGCTCGCTAGCACCAGAAGCTAACCACAACGATCTCCAGTACCGGTGCGCTCTCCTCTCGCCCGCCACACAAAATGGCTCGTCACACCACACACACCCACACACACACACACACACACACAACACACACACACACAACACACACACACCACACACACACACACACACACACACACACACAACACACACACACACACACAACAACACACACACACACACACACAACACACACACCACAACACACACACACACACACACACACACACACACACACACACACACCAACCACACCACACACACACACCTCACACACACACACACACACACACACCACACACACACACACACACCACACACACACCACACACACACCACACACACACACACACACACACACACACACCACACAAGCTTTAATGAAACACAGAGACCCAGACGTAATAGTACTGTAGTGTACTGCATCATATTATTTATTTTTTTATAACGATTTTCCTCCTGGTCTCTTGCGCCCCCCCTGGCATGCCTCTCTGCGCCCCCAGGGGGGGGCGCGCCCCCCACTTTGAGAGCCACTGCCTTAACCTCTTACCTGTGTGTGTTCGGTTGTGTCTCTCCAGCTGGCTGCGCTTGGCGAAGGCCTTCACGCAGGAAGAGCAGTTAAAGACTCTGGGTTTCTGGGGAGCTGGGTGAGGGGCCCCGGCTGGTGCACTCGTTCATGTTCCTGTAGACAGATCCAAAAATGAATTTCACAGTTTACAGTCTGGCCACACAAAGTCCTTCTACTGCATAGGATAGAACAGAGATGTTTTCCTTACAGAAATCACAGGTTCTTTGAACCACACAGACAGATTCTGGAGGGTCTAGACGCAATCATTCCTAAAGAGACATTGAATTGACTACCTTTATTTTTTTTCTGTCTTGTTTCCTAATTGTTTCAGGCTTCAGATTGTAATTGTTGGGATACCTAGCAAATCTTTGTGGATCAAGAGGTCAGAACAGGTAAAACTGCTATACACTTTGGTACTGTGTTGTAAAACTAAAATGGTTATTTGAATAGTCAATAACTATATTGACACTTGAATTTAACTGAACAAGCGAAACAGCACATATTTGCCAGACCCAGCATCTAAAAAATACAAGCAATGATGCTTATTTCAGACATGTATGATAGGTAACTTAATATATTTGATGTTTTGGACAATTGGACATTACAATGTGTCATTTTCTGAAAATTATATGCACAAAAAAACGGATTGATATAATCAGCAGATCAGTAGTTTTTGAGACTGATACATACTACATAAAAAACTGGCATTGGCACTGCCTTCTAAGAGTTACATTAAGAAAATGCCAGGTCTAAACCCATTAATGGTCATTTTTTCTCAAGGACTATAAAAAAACGGAGAATCCGGCAGTAGTTGTTCAGACCCTCGGAAACGGTCTTTCAGTGACTAGACTGATCCTTTTCAATCGGAGAATTATTCAGAAAAAAATAATGGCCTTGGTTCACACTGAATTATGAAATTCATGAAGGACTGAAAGAGAGACACGTTCCCAGAATATTTATGTTAAGACTTAAACCGCAGCGTTGATCTGTATTCAGGACAGATATGTCACGATCTGTCTTGTGTTGTGTTTGGTCTTGTCTTTTTTCTGTCTTTGTTTCATGTTTTATTTTGAAAAGTCTTCAAACTCCTGTCTTGCCTGTTGCTGTCTGTCTGTTTTTCCCTCCTACCTAATTACGCCGATTGTGTTCACCTGGTGCCCCCTGTGTTTTCTCCTCCCTCCTCACCCTGTGTCTTGTTTGTGTGATTAGTCTTGTGTGTATTTAAGTTCTGGTTTTTCTGTCTGTCATTGTTGGTTTCATTGTTTGTCTTTGACTGTGTTCTCTCGTGTTAGTCCAGTGTTCTGCAGAAGGGGCCGCCTGGTAGAGGCGACCACCGGTTGGCTATGGAGAAACCAGGCTTGGTGAATTTTTAACCTGGCTGGATGTGTTTGAACTTCCTCTGGGTGTGTGATTCCAGCCTGCTGACTACACAACGTCTCGGTGTGTTTCCGTCCGGAGTCAACCCCTGCTTCTTGCCCATGTCCTGCTCCTGTCCAGGAGCCGTTCTTTGGAACCTCGTCTGGCTTTGGGAGGTCCACGAAGCCTCCAACGGCTCCTAAAAGAAGGGAGTCGCAAGGGCGCAAGGCCTAGCAGCCCGAGCCCCAAGAGCCATGGTTCCGCCCAAGTTCTGGCCCCAGCAGCCATGTCCCAGACCCAGTTCTGGCCCCAGCAGCCATGGTTTCCAGCCCCAGGTCCCGGCCCCAGCAACCATGGTTCGGGCCCCAGTACCGGGCCCAGCAGCCATGGTTCCGGCTTCAGTGCCGGCCCCAGTAGCCATGGTCCCTACTCCAGTTTCGGCTCCAGTACTGGCTTACCGTCCAACGCCAGCTCTCCGAGGCCTGTCGGCGTACCGGCCGACTCCAGCACCTCGTCTCCTGTTGGCTCTCCAGCCGACACCAGCTCCCCCGGTCCTGTCGGCGTACCGACCAACACAAGTTCCCTCTCAAGTTCCCTCTCGAGTCCCCTCTCGAGTCTCCTCTCGAGTCCCCTCTCAAGTCCTCTCTCAAGTCTCCTCTCGAGTTCCCTCTAAGGTCCCCTCTCGAGTCTCTTCTCGAGTCCTCTCTCAAGTCCCCTCTCAAGTTTCCTCTCTAATCCCCTCTCGAGTTCCCTTCTCAAGTTCCCTCTCGAGTCCCCTCTCAAGTCACCTCTCGATTTCCCTCTCGAGCCCTCTCGATTTCCCTCTCGAGCCCTCTCTCGAGTTCCCCTCTCGAGTCACCTCTCGAGTTCCCTCTCGAGCCACGCATCCTCGAGTCCCCTCTCGAGTCTACCTCTCGAGTTCCCTCTCGAGCCCTCTCTTCGAGTCCTCCTCCTCGAGTTCCCTCCGATTTCCCCTCTCCCAGTCACTCATCTCAGTCCTCTCGATTCCCCTCTCCAGGTCACCTCTCGAGTTCCCTCTCGAGCCCTCTCTCTCGTCTCCCTCTCGAGTTCCTCTCGAGTCCCCTCTCCATCACCTCTCGAGTTCCCTCTCGAGTTCCCTCTCGAGTCACCTCTCGAGGTTCCCTCTCGAGTTCCCTATCAAGTCACCTCTCGAGTTCCCTCTCGAGGTTCCCTCTCAAGTCCCCTCATCGAGTTCCCTCTCCCAGTCCCTACTCAAGTTCCTACCAAGTCCTACTGAAGTGCCGTTGGAGGTTCCGCTGGGGGGTCCTGCCAACTCCATGTCCTGTCCCGTTGGGGGTCCCGCCGACTACTCTCCTGCCGGGGGTCCTGCCAACCCTATGTCGTGTCCCGTTGGGGGTCCCGCCGACTACTCTCCTGCCGGGGGTCCTGCCAACTCCATGTCCTGTCCCGTTGGGGGTCCCGCCGACTACTCTTCTGCCGGGGGTCCTGCTAACCCTATGTCATGTGTCGTTGGGGGTCCCGCCGACTACTCTCCTGCTGGGGGTCCTGCCAACTCTATGTCCTGTCCCGTTGGGGGTCCCGCCGACTACTCTTCTGCCGGGGGTCCTGCCAACCTTATGTCCTGTGCCGTTGGAGGTCCCGCCAACTACTCTCCTGCCGGGGGTCCTGCCAACCCTGTGTCCTGTCCCGTTGGGGGTCCCGCCGACGACTCTTCTGCCGGGGGTCCTGCCAACCCTATGTCCTGTGCCGTTGGAGGTTCCGCTGGGGTTCCTGCCAGCTCCATGTCCTGTCCCGTTGGGGGTCCCGCCGACTACTCTTCTGCCGGGGGTCCTGCCAACTCTATGTCCTGTTCCGTTGGAGGTCCCGCCATCACCTGTCTCGCCGGGGGTCCTGCCAACTCCTGGTCCTCTTCCGTGGGGGATCCTGCCGAAGCCTGTCCCACCGGCTCCGGTTCCTGTCCGGCCGACACCGGGTCCTGCCCGGCCTCCGGAGCTGTCCCGTCAGCGCCTTCCTGCCCGGCCTTTGGAGCTGTCTGGTCTTCGCCCTCGAGCCTGGCCCCCTGAGAGCCTTGCCCCCTGAGAGCCGAGGTCTTCGCCCTCGAGCCTGGCCCCCTGAGAGCCGCGGTCTTCGCCCTCGAGCCCGGCCCCCCTGACTTTCCTGGCCGCGGTCCTCGCCCTCGAGGCCCGGCCCCCCTGACTCTTCCTGCCGCTGCCTTCGCCCTCATGCTCGGCCCCCTGAGTTCGCCCGCTGTGGCCTTCGCCCCTCCATGGTCTCTGCCTTGCCCCCGGGCCGTCCGCCCGAGCACCCCCACCATGGGACTCTGCCTTGCCCCCGGGCCGTCCGCCCGAGACCCCCACCTTGGACTCTGCCTTGCCCCACGGGCCTTCCGCCCGAGATCCCCCGACCTTGGACTCTGCCTTGCCCCCGGGCCGTCCGCCGAGTCCCGCTTCTCGGCTTCTGCCTTGGCCCCCGGGCCGTCCGCCCGAGTCCCGCTTCTCGGCTTCTGCCTTGCCCCCGGGCCGTCCGCCCGAGATCCCTTCCGGGTCCTCCGCTGTGCTCCTGGGCTGTCAGCCCAAAACCCGTCCTCCAGACCCCCTCCACCCACCCTGGTGGCCCTTGTTTGTGTGATTAGTCTTGTGTGTATTTAAGTTCCTGGTTTTTCTGTCTGTCATTGTTGGTTCATTGTTTGTCTTTGACTGGTTCTCCGTGTTAGTGCCTCTAGACCTTGAAATAAAGTATTTTTTCGATTATTCTGCATTTGGGTCCTGCCTGCTTCACTCAACCGTAACAAGATACTTTGCAACACAAAGCATCTGTAAATTGGAAAATATGGCAAGTCTTATAAGGAGATAAGAAAGTCTAGAAGGAGAGGGGCTCATTACAGAGGGGTGTTTGTTAAAAGTGCCCCAGGTGTTGAGGAAAAACATTAGGACAAAAAAAAAAGAGAAGTTTCTATTGCAAAGTAAGGCTAATCTTCATTCCTCATGCTCACAGAAAATTGGTATTTCAGGGTCATAGACTGAATAAAACAAGCTTTGCCATTGATTTGTGGACTATGGCTTTGAACCTGTCTATCACCTGCAGCATACCCTGCTTTATCGTCTATTTCACTCTAAATGGGAAAATAATTTACAAAAAAACGTCATTCTGTATAAAAGATGACTTCTTATCATAATGTCATTAGGAAAACCTTTTTTCAAAGTAATAGAGTGGGAAGTAGGGTGATTTTCTTCATTGGCTTCTTATGCCCCATGCTGGCAATTAGATGAGTTGTGGAAGAGGTTGCTTTTTGGTCAAGTAGTCATTTTAAAGCAATACTTCAACAATTTATTTACTTTATATTGCTTTCCTGAACATAAATAATTGAGAGGAGGAAAACAACCTGTCTGTATATTAAACATAAAGCTAAAGCAGCCGCTGTATAGCTTAGGATAAACCACAGAGCAAGCCAGGATAGCCCACTGCTTCCAGTTTTATGCTATAATACTCTTCTCATCAAGAAAAAGTTTCAAAATGTTAAACTATTCCTTTAAAATGGAATATACAAAAGTTTCATACCTAAAAGAAACTGTACATGTCATCGACAAATAAGAAACATAGTATTTTTAAGTTACTAATTAATTGTGAAAGTCTCCTTACTGTACATTATGTTATTTATCAAAGTAGCTGATGGCCCAACCCTCCCATTTATCTGGCTGTGAAGGCTGTATGGGGGAAATAATACGTTTCCTTCCCTGCGCAAGTCTACTGATTCTCCCAACTCATCTAGTGATGGGCCTGCAGTCAATTATAAAACGTTATCATTAAATATTTATCCCATGTTCTCAAAATTGTAAAGCCAGAGTTTTGGGTTGTCTGGCTATAATTAAATGGCAAATTATTATACACGGACCAACAAAATCTAAAATAACAGCTCTACCAATTTGGCTTTCTCACCACTGGGCTTTTTATAAAAGCCGAATTCAGCATCTGAGTTCTTGTTGAGACTAATGAGCAGCCTGGGGATCTGGAGAGGATATAGCTTGGTCACTCTCACTCTGACACCCACATAATGTCTGTGTCATTACTTTCAGAAAAGACAATTACCGTTCAGCATGCAGAGGCACATTTACAGAAGTGAAAGCCTTAGGCTCAATGGCCTTTAGTTAGAAATATTACATATGGTAGGAAAAGGGCTTGTGAAAGAAGTCCCATCCTCTTTCTCCCTTTTTCCTCCTGATCTGAGAGCGCCGTCATTTGTGTGCATGAGTGTCTCAAACACAGATGCAAGAGGATCGTCAGAAAAGAGAAGCACACATGCTCCTCTTCCTAATTCCGCTGCTAAGTGTTTTGTTTTGACATTGAGAGTGGAAGACTTTCTGAAATGCTACTCAACAAATAACAATTTTTTCCCCCTTCATATTGTGAGATAGCATTCATTTTCCAGCCTGAAATGGAAGCACTGACTAACATTCAAAGGTGATTTCCCCACCAATGAAATCTGGAGTTGTATTTATTCATACAAAAATCTGAAATATTGAATAAGTTGCGACTCATTTAGACATACAAATTGTTTTTACCTTCAGGTGCGTAGCTCGCTTGAAGGCCTTGTTACAGAGAGTGCAGACGTGACAGCGGTCCTTGCCGTGAGCTTGTCTGCAGTGCCGCCGCAGTGTGTTGGCATTCTGGAAAGCCTCATTGCAGTAGTAACACTGGTTCCGAGTATCAGCCTCCATCTGGCCATCCTTCCCACCCTTATGGCCATCGTCAGTAATCTGGATCAACGCACAAAGATTAGTGAATAACATATTTACAATTACTCTGAAAACTCACAACTACACAAGCATTGTGAAAGTATCTATTAGCATTTTACTTTTTTAAGAGAGTACCTCTCTTCTCAGACACCAGGCTCCTTTGACAAAAACTGATTTTATCTTGCAGAACATAGGAGCTGCTGGTCTACTGCTGCCTTAGTCTGTTTGTGGTATTGTGTGACTTTGGTGTTTCAAAGGGTACAGACTCAAAGTCACCAAAGTCACACAGTAACACAAACAAATAAACAATTGATGCAGCAGTAGACCATATATTTCTGGCTGTTTTCTTTAGCATAGATGGATTTAACTGCTTCAGTTCCCTCTCTGAAAGGTTAGGAGGCCAACCTATTTCAAATATAGTGTACACTAAAACTATTATTATTATTTTGTTAGGTGGCACTTTCTTTAATGTGACTAAAATATGTTTTGCTGTTGCCATTTTCCACAGCATTACATGGCTTAGTTTTCTTGCTGGTACTCCCTGTTGTTTTCTGCAGACTTTGGGTTTACCGACATCGATCCACTGACTACAGATAAGTATCTCATACCAACTATCCCTTTTACAATCTTAAACTAATGGTGCATACTTCACTTGGAAAGTTTGTGAGATTAATTCATGTGTTTTGTATATCTTCGAGGCAGCCCCTGATTAAGTAAGTAATAACAATCAACTGGTAGAAACTTGCATAAGATAGTGATCCATCATAGTAGATTATCGTGTTGCCCTTTTAAGCATTTGCTCAATTCATCGACCTACTTCCAACTTAGTTTGACAGTTCTTCTCCCTGGGTAGCAAACTACTACAAAAGACAAACACACTCACCATTGTATCCATTGTCAGACGCTCCGTTTGTGGATTGGGAATGGTGGCTGACCAGTATAACCTGCTGGCCTGAGCTGGTTGGCTGTCCTGGGTCATTCAGCACTGCAGGAAAGGTCTGACCCCTAAAGTTCAACAAGGTATTCTAGTAAGGCAGCTGACAAACTACATGATGCCACATTAGTGTTGTGCATTGTTCATGTGTCCACATTTACCTGCGTATTAAGGTTTAGAGTGACACCTTCCAGCATACCCTGAGCATCTGCCAGGGTCAGGGTAACGCTGTCATCACCTGCCACGCCTCCTGGTGACATCACTAGGCTCTGGGACACGGCACTATGCGATAGGGTGGTGCTACATGGCAGGCTAGAGACTGATAAGTGAGAGATAGACAGCATAGAGTTCAAAGACAGAACAGTGGGTGTGTTTTTGAATGTGAAGCAACAGCACATCAGTTTAATTATTCCAATAATTGTTGGTACATTAAACGTTGGTACCAAAACCCTTAGCTAACTGACTGAAAAATAATAAAGACATATTTATAATTTTGAGCCAGGGAGGCAGCTTCATTATTTTACCGGTGAATATATCTAATAATATATTTTATAGGAAGGCCACGATGTACCCCATATACAGTTTATCAGCCAGAGCAAAGGCTGAACTACATTAATATACAGAGTGACTGGAATGCTCAAGTCTAATCAACAAAAGCGCTCTCTGCGGAGCGGTGAGAACATTTTCCCCTTGAGTTGAGAGGGGAGGGTAATGAAGAGGTATGAGGGACCAGAATTGTGATTAAGCTTCCAGGTGAAAAGCAAACCAGTAAACAGAACAATCAGGAAGCCATCTCTGAGAAAATAAATCATATTCGCTCACTTCACTTCACACAATCGCTTTACTTTCACACATTGGTTTGCAACATTTTTAAGTGACTATTATTCACATATCGTTTTCAAACTCTGAATGCACATCTTCTTGATTGATGCCTATACATTATACCTATGATTTGTACTTCATCATACTAGTTTTATAGCACTAAAAGTATGCATGCAACACAGATTATGGTCCAAATAAAAAATCAGGGTGTGTTGTTTATAGGCTTCTATGCCCACAGCAAGTCATTCATTATCTTCCATCTGTCGTTCCACGAACAATTGATTCTCCAAGTGTGCCTTTTAGTATACAACAATCATCTTTTAGGGTTGTATTGTTTTCTAGCAGTTTTTACAATTGTGATTTATAGAGAAAACAATGTGTGTGGCTGCTTTAAAGTGAAGTGAAAAAGTTAGCATGCAATTCATTCTGAATAACAGATTATTTCCTGGAAAATGTAGCTTAATCCTCTGTCATTTTATATTTGTGTTATGTATGTAGCCACAACATATATGTATTACAGGGTTCAAATACAAAAACAGTCCGCATGAAACAATAAATGATTAACTAGAGAGGTTAGCTAACTTAATTGTTAGTGTCAATTAGTTAGCGTGCGAACACTGGTGCTGGCCAAAAGTAGGGTTTTGGCTGACAAAATCGACGCTTGCCAGTTAGAAATGAGAGGACTTTTTGTCTCGTTACTGTGTTAACTAATATACCCAGAAATGGTATGAAAATTAATATGAATTTCGAGTGGTAAATGTACCACAATTGTATACAGCTGTTGCGTACAAGTTAGAAAGCTTTACAAGCGAAACAACAGCCGTAAATATGTGAAAAGTAAAGTTTAAGTACCAATACAGAATCACTGAATTAACTTTTAATCTGACATTTTGTGTACATTTGACATTTAAGCGGTTGTGACATTTCTGTGAAATGTGCGGACCAGGACGAGCCTTACTGAACCTTGAATAACCTGAAGTTATTTCAGCTTCTGACATACACTTTGATGACTCCACAATGGGAGGTCACACCATGCCATTTCATCAAAAGGGCATTCATCCGGAGACTGTTTGAGCTTCTCCATCAATGCTTTAGTATTATTCTGGGATCTATCACTAGTGCTGGAGGCAAGAGAAGCTCATTTTGAACCTGAGGACTTGGACTACAGTTACCCTTATATTGGTGCTATTCATGCTCCTATTGCGGACTACAAACACTCGTTCAGTGGTCATATGTCCTTTGTAGTTGAAGCAGCGACAGATTCTGTGATCTCTACTCTTCACCTGTAATTTCTGACAGACAGAAAAGGCTTGTGCTGAATTATATTTATAAGGTTAGCAGTACTTGGGCTATTGCAATCCATTGTTTGTTTTTCAATCCAGCAAGATTGGACTGGAGACTGGGGGCGATTGCAATAGGGGTAAATACACAAAGATGTCCTCTCACTGGGGTACAATTGAACCATTTCTGCTCAAGTGGCGTATCTTGGTGATAACAGCTAGCAGGGAATCTCCTATTTTGTTGCCATGTTTCTGACTTAAAGGGGTGTCCCTGAGTCAAGTGGTGTTATGAGTGAGTAGAGCAGGTCACTAACGATGGCTTGATGCAGGTCAAAGATGGATTTGTGGGCATTTATAAAACTCAAAGAGGAGTGAAAGTTTGTGGAACAAAGTGGACTAAAATAGATTGGTTTCTTTGTAGTCATGGAAGGCATATCAAACAAATGTTGCCTTGAGGAGATGAAGTATCATATTTGAAGGGAAGGGATGTCATCAAATGGTAATTAAATTAAATTATAACTTAATTAATATACCCCTGGGACGAAGCAAAATTCTTCAGGTATTGGCAGGCATATTTCACTCCTGATTCATTATAAGGGAGATGGTGTTGCACATTGTTTTAAAAATTCAAGCACAGAAACTAAACCAAAAACTGGCCAACCCTATATCAGCTTCTATCATCCCATCAAAATGTTTATTATTATTATTATTATTATTATTATATTAATGCATTTGCAGAGTACAAAACTCCTTAACAGCAATCGATGTACATTGTCACTATGTTTATTTAATCATTTGTTCATTTTAACTTTGACAATACGCTCATGGAAGTAGCTATTGTTTGTTTCCTTGTGTGTACAGTATGTAATTGCAATGGCAAAATAATACAAGCAACAGCATAGAAGGGATGGTGCATGGTTGACAGTGAATTCCAAGATAGGGACAAAAGGGAAGAAAACAATAAAAAAGCAAGTCTGTTACAATTTTACGGAAGGTTTTGATAAAAAAAAGCCTTATCAATTTGTGTGTTATTGGAAGCCTACCAGTCCTGTTAGCACCGGCAACTTATGTTACCATTGAAACCTACTATCAGAAAATGAAGTCCTTTGATACACTGACTAATCAACTAAGTTGAGATGTAGTTACACCTAATCACACGACAAACATGTAGAGGTCCTAACCTGCCATTCCAGAGTTGGCGGGGATCTGAGGTAGGAGGTGTTCATTGATGATAGTCAGGGTTGTGCTGTTGGGCTGGCTGCTGAGTGGTGATGAGAGCCTGATGCTGCCGTTCATCTCCACTCCATTAGAGTGGCTGTGTTGGGGGAGTAGATCCTGGCCTGCATAAATACGGAGAAGAAAATGTTTTAGTATTTTTTTCTTATATCAGGTTAGGATAGAATGTGGATTTTTTACAGTACATTTGTGGAAGAAGATTATTGTTGTTAAGTATAGTTCCCACAGATGATAAAAAAAAACAGACATTTCTAATACAGAGGGAAAAGCACATGAAACATTTTGCGTTTTTTCAGCACATAAAAGGCAGTGGAAAAGAAGATCACAATGCATGGGTTATGCATTGTGATCTTCTTTTCCACTGCCTCTATGTGCTGAAAAAACGCTCCCCTCCTTGTTTTCATACAGGAAAAAAAAAAAGGAAGGGAGAAAAAATAATGCTATATATAACAATGGTTTGCTATCTCCTTAATCTTTTTACCCAATCCAGTAAATATATCAGAATGCTGAATGAAACACAGTCCAAGTAATAACTGAGAGGAAATACTCGGACTGTTACCATCATGCTGGCAGGAAATGATTTACAGTGACTCTGGAGAGGCTCAGAAAAAAATGTACAGCCACAACTAATCTCAACGCTGTGGATACAATGTATTTCCCCGGCTGATATACGAGAGGCTTTGTACTAGAGATGATGTACAGGAAGACATTGGGTTGTGAGGAGCCTCTATTGCTCATAACCCCTAACATTGTTGCTTTTAATCTGATCTGGGAAGCTGCTTCAAAGTGAATCTATCGCCTGTGAGTTATTATTGCGCCTGCTTTATGTCTCTCCTGCGTGCAAGAGTATGGCCTGAGTGAGGAAATCAATAAATGCATTACACCTCAAAGGGATTTCTATCTCATCTGTTGGTTTGTTATGGATAGCATGTTTCTGCACTAGCTTACTGAACACAGAATGTTTTTTTACCATACCTGATATGGTGAGCGTGATCTCCTGAGGGTTTCCTGCTGCATTGCTGGAGCTGGAAGCTGAAGCGTGGGCATGAACCTGTGCCAGGGCTTGAGACAGGCTGGAGTTGTTGATGGTCAGCGTGATCTCCTGACCGCCGGGGCCTCCGGATACCAGCCCTGAGCTGCTTATGACATGGCTAAGGTCCTGAGAACCTGTAGAAACCATAACACGGTCAGTTATACAGGTCCTAACAGAGAGCTTCTTGTTCTGTTTCCAGGCTGCCAAACAAACCTGTAGCATCATGCTCAGAGAGGATGGCCTGTGTGAGGGTGGAGGGCTGCAGGGCCAGGCTGGTCAGTGGGTGGAGGACCACATTGGCAGACACCGAGGGGTCGGAGGTGGACATGAGATGGCTGCCAGAGTGGGAGATGAGGCTTGCGTCAACACTCAGGGGTTGAGAGAGGAGACCACCTTGTTGAAAGGTCTGCTGCAGGAGGGCATGGTCGATCTGAAATAGAAAGTATTACTTTAGATCAGATGGAAAGAGAACAGAGTAGCATGTATAAATGTATATCAAACAGACACAGCGAAAACACAAGAGGGTTGCTTTTTGAAAACTGTTTCGGGGTTATTAAGTTAAGTTTCCTCCCTTTGATATTTTTTCACAACTGAAACATACTCCAAGAATGAAGATGAAAATGTGTAATAAAATGCTTAGCCTGCATACTTCTTCTGACCCCTCCTATGCATATATCTTTTTAGGGAGGGTACTTTGAATCTTTTCTAGGGTGAATGTTTGTACGGAAGGCATGAGGCAAGTGAGAAAAACTAAATTCTCTTCCTCTGGAAAACAGTTGAAAACATAAAAAAAAAATTGTAGTTGTGTGTAGTGTTGTTTAATACTCAATGTGGCCGTTAAGTGCACCACTACTCACTACTCTGTGTTCTAAATAGTACCCAACAATCTCAAGTACTGCCAATGTTAGATTGCTTGCTAAAGACAGTATGTGTGCTTTGTATTATAAAGGACATAATATGTTGATTTTGAGTTTCATATTTGTATGTTGTGCCTCTACTGTGACATGTCTCCATGCTTTAATGTTTAAAAATATCTTAATTTTTCTCATACTGCCTGTGCTGCAGCACCTCTTTTCACCCTTTGTCTGAAAACAGAGTCCAGTCTGCTCTGATTGGTTAGCTGGCCGGCTCTGTTGTGATTGGTCAACCGCTTAGAGAGGTCCTGCCCATTAGCCTATTATGAACGTTGTGTTGAAGCGCTAGCCAATAGAAGTGTGAGTGTTACATATTGATGTCACTATGTTACAGAAGTAAACAAAGGAGTCCTATGGAGGGTTTTCAGGCAGGGGGGGGGGGTGCATTTGACAAAAAACCACACAAAACCTATATGACACACGACAGAAAAGTATAAAAGGGCCCCTTTAAGGCATGAGGGTAGAATTGTTTCAGATTTAGAGAATCAACCACCATTCCCCCCCCCCCCCCCCCCCTTGCCTCAAGTTTCTGATGAGAGAACAAAAACGTTGTTTCACCATTTAGATGGAGCCCATGAGAAACAACACTATCTGACACAGAATCCAATATCAAGATTCAGCTAGCCATAAAAAAACGAATTGGATTGGAACCCTAGTGTGCACATCAGGTGTGTCAATACTACATTTTGTATTACTTTTACAGCTAAATGGACAACTCATCATGGGCTTTATGTAAAGAAGCTCTGTTGAATCTTATTTGGTGCTCATTTGGGATTGCAGGATCCTACGCTAGATTGCTTATACCCTCACTATCAACTTTATGGACTTCTAGAATGGTGAAGCTAAGCCCTGGACAAACCATCATTAGCAAATACATTATATTGCAAAACAGCTGCAGAAAAAAGCAACTCACTTATGGTTGTTGAAATCCTCCTAACACATCATTGCTGTTTACGTTTAGTGAATACATTCCCACACAAAACAAACACTGTTGGTAATGACTAATTAATTAGTCAATGTCGACAAGGGTGGTTTGACATGTCTAATTGTGTATTGAAATGAACAAATACTCTAGCCAAAAATTATAGCTGATGAATAAACAAGTCCAAAAACAATTTTTGCAAACACTAGGTAATTAATGAAATGGTTGGTACAAAATGATATGCGCCCCAAATCGACTGCTAAAATTGTGCTCGGCTCATTTAAAGGAAATTAAGAAAAGGCAATGTTTAAAAGCCTGCCGATGTTACTGGGGGAATAAGCCACAGACTTTACATTACAACTGATGTAGAAGGCGTATAATTAAAAGTAGTTTAGGACTAAAATGAAATCATGCAGTAAATTCCATTTTGATTAATTTATTTATTTATTAAATGTGCCAACTGTTTATTAAATGTGCCAACTGCTAGGACTGTCTTAGGGAAGACAGCTTTTAGATGCGCAGCTCCTCTGTCTTGGAATAGTCTGCAAATTAAATGAAAACTGAACAATCTGGTGCCACTAAATGTTTTTAAAGCTCGGTTGGATGCTACTCAATCGGAAGCTATTGGTACCTGTTTATGTGGATAATTATGTAAATGATGCTGTATGATGTCCTTTTGTTGTTCTATTTATGTTTTTATGTTTCATGTGGAACTACTTGAGCAGGTCTCCCTTGGAAAAGAGATCAATGATCTCAATGGGATTTATCTGTATAAATAAAGGTTTGAAATGAAATGAAATTAATTAAAAACTAAAGTAAGAATAATGAGGCAGGATGTGTCCATAGAATATCAATGTACTTAAAACGTTTCTGACCTATAAACTGTTTCTTTATAAATATTATGTAACTATTAACCATTACACAATTTATTTTTGGTTCATAAAAGCATGTATTTTAGAAGTATTCTATGACAAGGAGACTACTACTCGTAGTTGCTCCTCTGAGATATTTGATTCCCCTCAATAGGAAATAACTGCAGGGTAAAATGTTCTCAATCAACATTAATGTATAACATCTTCCTAAGCATCAAGAGGATGACCCACATGGAAAATTACATATTTTATTCAGTAGTATTTGTGTGTAACCTGTAGTGTGATGTTGTTGATGTTGCTGGCGTCAATGCCAGAGATCTGCACGTTGGGGCACACCAGGTTGGCAGGAGTCAGCTGCAGGTGGATGCCATCCAGCGTGGTGAGGCCATCTGGGAGGGACACCGTCAGGTCTCCTGCAGCTGCACACACACACACACACACACACACACACACACACACACACACACACACACACACACACACACACACACACACACACACACACACACACACACACACACACACACACACACACACACACACACACACACACACACACACACACACACACACACACACACACACATTTTGTAATGTCATTCTATTTGACTGATACAACTGCTGAAATAATTAATTTTAATATTTCTTATCCGTGTTTATAGGATTTCCTGTTGTTGTTTAACTCAGCTATATTGTCAACAAGGTATATTCCTCTATATATTTCCAAGCTTGAGAAAACTATGGTATGTAAATGTGCACATTTTTCAATAAATGTTGGCTGAACCTTCCACTAAAGGAATAGATAGGAATCAATAATCTGGAATTCTGAAAATCCTTTTTCTACAATGCTTTATCTAATTTCCTTCAACAATTGTATATTCCTTAACATCCAGACCATTTTATCAAAATTTTACAGAGGACACAAAGACAGACTTATAGTGTGAACTCATGTTTCAAAACCCTAAGTACTGTACTTGAATGTTGTTATTCTTATAGCATGGATATTTTATCTGCCTCAATAAATGCAGCTAAGATGAATATAAACATCATAAACATCCTCTTTGGAGGAGTTCTGATATTGTGAAAAATTGATTTGTGTTCAAAATGATCAAATAGTAGATTTGATTGGAGAAAAATGGTTACACTGAAAGTGAAAAAGCACCTTTCATCTCCCAACACTGGCCATGTCATTCATCTTGGCCGGAGCAAATGGCAAATGATTACAAAGCAAGCATTTCAAGTAAAGCTTTTCATCTACACGCACACCTTGGTATCATCAGCGTGACATTACGATCAGAGTAAGTGCCAAATGTCAATAAAATGTGTTGTTGGGTCATCCATTACACATAGTGACTAATACAATTCAGTGACTCCACTTTCATGGTGTTGGGTCATTCTATCCCCATGAAATTATGCCTGCAGACCATGGTTTGCTCTGTAAGAAAACAGACAGCTGATTTCCAGACTACTTCTTCTTACTCTGCTCTTAACTATTGCAGTAAAACGATGCATTTGGTGTTCATATCTACAACTCTGCATGGTTATGTAAAGTACTATATTTAACAATGTATAGTTGTCAATCGCTTTGTGTTGCCAATATTTGATCATATTTAAACAGATTCCGAACTTTCTTGGTTGCCTATATAGACTGTAGGCTAATTTCAATGTAGGAGACTCGGGACGCCTCTCTAACCCACGGTTCGAGCTAATGTAGCAAAATACTGTCTTGAGTGGACATAAACAAATGTATCCACACTCTTGGGTACCTGTTGGTAAATTAGTAAGCTTTCCATTAGCAAATTACCTTATCAGTTAAGGTTACAAAACAATCTATGCAAGGTTGTGCAGCTAGCTGGGTAGATTAAGCTTACTTGTTAGCTAACGTTATCGCTAGCACCACACTTTCTGAGTTGATGTTAGTTGGCCAGCGAAATTACTTAACAAGATAACGTGATTCATCATACTAACAAAGCAAAGCTCATTACTAATCATTTATTTGTACTAGCCAAGCGCAATGCATGGCAGGGGTGGCCAACTAGCTAACTGTAACCTAAGCTAAGGTTAGCAGTATAGCTGTACCTTAGCTATACATTATGAATCTGGCATTTGCAATTTATAAGGTCAAAGGTCATAAGACATGCAGCTAATGGTCCAAGACAAAATATAGGAACATGACATATGATATGAATCCTATTACAATTAAAATATATGGTTACAACATCATGTCACTGTTTTGGCTCATGATAAACCCGAGCCCAAAGATTGCCATCCTGCAAATAACAGAATGACTGCAGTCTACTTAACAAAATGATGTCTATTATACGATTGTTTAGAACATTCTTAATAGCTTCTTTGATTTCATTGTATTTCTTGTTCTGTGCGATCCTTTCAAAGGGCTTACCTGACATAGAGGCAGGTAAAATGGCCTGTCCCACCAGTCCCTGTTGCAGTAGATTCTGGTCAAACTGCCCTGTCAGGACTTGGCTGGCAGGGAGGTACATGTTGGGGTCAGAGTTGCCAGTTTGCAGCAGACCCACAGGTTGAAGAGCATCTAAAGCGGCTGACTGCTGGCTCAGGCCCTGCCCCAGAGCCTGCCCATTCCCTGGGTCTTGACCATGACCAGAGGACAAGGCAGACCGCTTGGATCTGCGACTTTCTAGGCTTGGACGGAAATGGCACTGGATGTGGGTTTTGCGGTGGCCTGAAGTTCTGAATCGTAGTTCACAGAAGGGACATTTGAAGGGCTTGGAGCCTGTGTGGAGGCGCATATGCACCTTCAAGCTGCCCTTTGTAGAGAAGGAGGTGTTGCACATGTGACAGCTGAATAGTTTCTGACCTACAAAGATAAAGTAAAAAAAGTGAAAGTTACTTGAGGGTTCTTCTACTTCTATTCTCTGTGAATTTTGGATTTTGTAAGAAGGCAGTAATATAACCGTCCTAATCATAACAGCTTTGAAATTTCAAGGAAAGCGCATAAAGAGTCTGCAATCAGGTCAGGGAGTTCTTGTAAACTTTTTCTTCTTCCTCTCTTCCTACAGCTAAAAAACTAATCAATAATCAAAGTTAGTTGTTTAAAACAACAGTGGATACTGTAGACTATTCTTCAATTATTCATAACAAAGTTCCAATAAAGTTGTTATCCTAGTTTTGGGAAATAATTTTGCCAGAACCTTGTTTAAAAGACACTAATCCAAATACCCCAATGTTTCAAAAATTGCACTAACATAGGAATCCCCCTTAACAATTTTAACCTCAACAACAATAAGCAACCAAATATAGTGATCAAACATGAACCTGTATGTGTCTTCACGTGGCAATCCAGGGTAGATTTCACTGTAAAACTCTTCCCACATTCATCACACTTGTAAGGTCTTTCTCCCGTGTGGATCCGAATATGCCTAGAAATTGAAGCAGATCAACATAGGTACATTTGAAAGAGGACACATGAGCATTGACAGGGTTTTCTGCCCAAGAGCACTCTTCCATCTAATGCCTTTGGTGCCCAGTGCCGTTGTAACACGAGCTTGCAAAAAAATTGCAAATGCACTGTCACTCCAAATATCAAAACTTAAATAATAAATGTGCCTCACTTTTTTGTCAAAACAACAGCCAAAAATCACTTTCAAAAACATGGGCCAGCTTCTAGAGATTTTAAACATATATTGTGTTTCTGATGTCTGTCATTTCACACTTTAATCAAGAAGTCTGACACATAATTGCACGTGCAAATTGAATGGGGAATTTGGAAAACATACTGACCTTTGATCAAGGAGGTTTATATGTTATTTATACGGCTACATTAATGTTAAAAGTATAGCCTAAGGGTGTGGGGGAAAGCTAGATTGACATAAATGACATCTGAGTAGTTTTATAGTATCATGTACAGCGAGAAGGACTAATATAGGTGGAATAAAATAAGACAAAAATGAAATATAGTTTAATAAATTAATTTGTGGGACAAGAAAACTATTCCAAATAATATCATCAATGAAATATACATTATATTACATATTTGGATGAAAATAAGTGTTAATTGATGTCGGCCGATCAGCTTCGAGAGAATGGTTGCCAACCCCTGACCCTGAGAGACCCAATTTAAAGCAATGGTTTTAAAATACGCAGCGCTTTCATTCCATTTAATTTTTGCTTCATGATGAGAACGTGAGAATCTGTCATGTTTCTCCTAAAGACCAATAAACAGGAGTGATATTTACCTAACGAGGTCACTGGGCTTCTTGAAGCTCTTGGGGCAGAAATTGCAGCAGTTGGCAAACTTTGGTTCTGTCTCCAGCTCCACGGCCTTGTCTTTGATCTCGCTGATGCGATCCCTCTCCGCAGCCGACTGGGCGAGGATCCGCTCCGACACCGAGGCCTCCTCGCCGGGATCTTTCGCCAGCTCGGCCGTCTGCTCCTCGGTGAATGTGATGATTTCTAAACCCTTCCTCTTTAACTTCAGCTCCCCGTCCTCATCCTCTTCTTCTTCTTCTTCTTCCTCCTCCTCCTCTTCCTCAATGTCTTCTCCATCCAGACGCATAACTGAGAGAATTCGGCAAAGGGAAATGTACATTTTCTAGACAGTGATATACAAAACAGCTTCTTTCAAATATTTGAAATACAACAATCGATCTGTTAGCATTTTAGCATTTCCCCTTAAGTTTCATCTTTTTAGAATATTTTGTTTTCAAACTTTTCAAACAGCATTTCTAAGTAATGGGATGTAATCGGCCTCCTTACTCTGATCCTCCACAGCGTGTTCCTTCTTCATATGCTTTTTACACAGCAGGCTGGTCCTGAAGTTGTCATCACACACGGAGCATTTGAAAGACTTGATGTGGATGATCATGTGGCGGTTCAGGCTGCCGTTGGTGGTGAATGAGGCGTCGCAGACATTACACTTAAAGGGCTTCACTCCTGTCAGCGAGAGAGGAGAGGCAGGGGTTTCAGGACGTTGCATTTGAAACATTGTATACCATTTCACTAAAGAATAAGGTATTACTAAAACTTTCCATATATTTTTGTGATACTACCAATTAATTTGTTGGTTTTGCTCCAAGTCCCGAAAACACCTATTACTGCTTTGAATTACATAAATTACATGTTGTAATTTGTTCTCATCCCGGACTCAGAATGGTTTTAGTAGTATCGTGGGGATACAGTCATTTGACAGGCTGTGTCCATGTGGTAAATGGGTGTAATTAACAATGTAAATACACTGTAATATGAGTCTAATAACACTGTAATATAGGTGTAAAAAGAGTGTAATACGGATGTAATGCGGGTGTAACAACAGTGTAATTACGGTGTTGTATAGGTGTTACATGTGTGTGATATGGGTCTTACATGGGTAAAAGAAGGTTGTTATAAGGGTGTCATAATGGTGTAACATGGGTAGGATAACAGTGTAAGTTGGGTGCAATGTAGAAAAGAGAAATCAATTTCATTTCGTATTCATTTATATGTGATGTGAGGGTTAAGAAATTGAGATACTTCATAAATCATTTTACTCATAAGCCTATTTTGTTCCCATGGCACCATGGGTATTTACCCCCCTTTGTTTTAAATATCTTGAATTACTAAGTCATTTGTAATCGTGGTGTGAATACAAAGCATTACCAGGTTTTGGGAGATAAGGTAATACAAATAAATCACAATGTACCCCTGGCATCTTAATAATTTGATGAAAAAATTAATTAAATGCAATGGAATAGAACATATTTAATGGGGGCAATGACCTACAAAGGCTTTGGGTTTTTAAAAGCTAATTAATTTAGGAGGTGGTTGCTAAGCTTACCTGTGTGCGTGTTGAGGTGGGACTTTAGCACTCCGGCTGATACAAAGGCTCGTCCACAGAGATTACATCTGTAGGGTTTCTCCCCGGTGTGGGAGCGCACGTGCTGCTTCAGGTGGCTTGACTTTTTGAAGCCCTTATTACACCAATTGCACCTGACAAGAGCAAAAGAAAGGCCCATTATTGTTGTTGAATTCAGACGAAACAAATGTAATGATAAACAGAGAGACCAGAACAGCTAAGTAGTCTGTAGAGTCAGATGAGACATTTGGTCATGTGAATGCAGCTTTAAGCTGATGTCAGAGAAAAACAGTCTGGGAGAATGATTTAAATTCTTTATGCGCTTTGTCTCCAAGGTCCCTTCTTATTAAAAGAGATAAATCCTGACTGCAAGGAAAATGTGGAAATGATGGATGATACAGAGGACTAGGTTCTTTTTTAAGCCAAATTGGTTTCTACTTTTGACAAAAGTTTTGAGTAGGTTCGACCTGATACCTTGGCAAACCTGAATGTGTATCCCTGGGCAGTGGCGGTTCTAGAACATTTTACATGGGGTGGCAAAGGGGGGGGGGGGCAAGAGGTCATGCCAGGGTGGCATGGGAGGGCGGACAGTACGTGGTATTTTATACTGTATATATAACCTATTTATTGTTAAATCATGCTCTAACATGTTCTTAATGCACAAGAGAAACAAGGTGTTCAGATAAACAAACTCAAATATAGTATAAAACAGCAGAAAATACTCATGATACCTCGAACTCTGTTTACTGTAAGTACAGTAAAAGTACTTAGTTATAATGAAGTACATAAATGACATCACCCATCTCTTAAGAGAGCTAAAGGTGACCTGTGCAGCAATACATTTCAATAAATATTTGATCTTTATATTCGTCAATACCAAGAGCTGCTAGATTGTAGCGGCTGTGACCAATGATCACAGAGTAATTCTCATAGGTATTTGAGCTATAATATAACTTTACATTAGACGGTGCTTCTATCCAAAGCAACTCACAATAAGTGCAATTAACCATGAAGATACATAACAGCAAGAATACTGCAAGTACCTTCAAATAAGTCAAACTTGTATTAAAGATTGTAATGGCCAAGGTGCAGTGGAAACAGGTGGGTTTTACATCTCCGACGAAAGATGTGTAGAAATTCTGCAGTTTTGATATCAATGGGGAATATGATTAGAAAATGCACCAACTAGCAAAAAGGATTGTTTGGTCGTGACAAAGGTACAAAAATAAAAGAACAGACAAGCAGATTCTATGTCCAGATTTTGGACCTGTCGGACAGAATACAATTGCAGTGCAATCAAGCTTAAATGGTGGAATGAGTGCCTCTCCTGAGTAACCTGGTGTTTACCGAACTGCTCTCAAAGTAGTAGAGAGCATGTTGAAAAATATATTCCGGTTTGGAGAGACATAATTGAACTCTTTGGGCCTGAATGACAAGCGCTTTGGTGAAAACCAGGTACTTTTGCATGGCATGGTTGCATCATGTAGAAAAGACAGCATCAAGGCATAAGGAGGTTTTAGGATCTGTGAGAATCAGGGGACTCTGAGGGAAGCGTAAACACGATCAGAATAGGCAGAGATTCTCTTTTCAGTACAACCAGAATCCATCAGGCAAGAACAGAGCAGAAGCAGATTCCTCAAAGTCACAGAGTGTTCTTCAATGGCGCAGTAAATGCTGGACTTATGCTTGCTATTTTAACCACGAGTTCACATAAAAGCTAGCATCCTAAGCGGAAATGTCCACATAGATGCGGATGAACATGTCCACTGAATGACACCAGAAAACTTGTACCTTGCATAACTTCCAGTTTTGCATGATTTAAACAATAAACATAAAGTATTATTTTGCGAAAAATGTGTCTCAGTGAACTGGGGATTGATACAAAAATAAAATGCCTAGCTAAGTAAGGTACCTTATCCTGTGACTGGTGGGGAAAACACACTATCGGCGCCGCCCACATTCCATTTCCCCCAAACTTTGCTTACATTTTACGTCCTTTATGTCAAATTATAAAATGTTATTTATCATACTGTCAACAGCTTTTTTGATTAGCATTAGCAGTAGCATTTCTTCCAAAATGTCCCCCATTGTTGTCGTTGATGATGTGCCTACTGACCCCTGATCCTGTCACATCGCCATAATGCACTACAGATTATGTGTGATGATCTGTAGTGTTCATTTCTGAGGATGTAAAAACCAACGCTCCGATCAGACGCAAGCAGACATCATGCATATGCGTAGTGAAAGCAATTATATCACTGGCTTAAGACCTAAGGATCGCAGTTTAATAATGTAATGTATATCTATTCTAAAAGAATCTGTAAGCAAATAAGATAACAGTTCCGTTGAGAAATGAAGGTGGGCATAGATGGCAGAGGAATCTCTTTTTATCTTTTTCTCCTTACTGTTGCTTTTACAAAAGGTTGGGAGTAGAAATGTGAAGAGGTTTTAGCAAGAAGTAAGTCAGAAGTAAACCTGTAGGCTCTCTTGCTGTTGTCCTCGCTGTCATCCTGGTAGTCCTGTGTTTCAGTGCTCAGCTGAAGCTCATCCTGAGTGCTCTGCTGAAGAAGTCCATTTGTCTAGATTTCACAAGATAAATCAACAAAATCACCTTATTGCAGAAATAAATATATTTAGGAGGCATTATTAGTTCCAACTGTCTCATGTCTGCTTAAGATATGTCTTCAAAGGGTTATTTCAACATTTTGGGAAATCCTACCTGTATGCAGTTTAGAATATGAAGTTAGAGTTGAAGTTTGGTCAGTTTTAGCTAGGTGAACCAGAATATGAATGCACATTACATTGAGAAACAATTAAACCATTGCAGGGGGTATTTCATTATTAAGGCGTATTTTTAATCATTTGAGAGAGCTGGGTGCACTTTTTCCCAGTTGCGAGTTTGTATGCTAAGCTAGGCTAATTAATCCCTATCTCCAGTAGTGTACTTAACCCACATATATGAGAGTGGTATTCATCTTCTTGTCCTAATGAAGCATGCATACAAACAAATAAGTCCAACATGTCTTTATCAATAGTTGTGTACTGCTCAGCTACTGATCAGCTTTCTAAGTCCAGGTGAGTGTAAGGGCTTATTGGGTATAGTCCCAGGACTCACCACTTCAGCACTGGAAACGTGGAGCAGGTTGGGGGGGTGATAGCTGGAGGACAGGGCCTGGGACTCCAGGGTGCTGGAGTCCTGCAGCTGCTGGACACTGGAGAAATGGGCCTGACTGTAGCTAGATTCAGTGATGGTGAAGCCTGAGGGGAGAAGACAACGAGAAATCAGTATCTCCAGCTATTCATCACATCTCAAAGAAGAATTTATTGAAGAATAAAATGGCAAATGGCAAATAATAATTCAAAAGTGTTTAGCTTTTAAACTTTGCAATTCCACATATGTGAATACTAGACACTATGCACATGAAACCCAAGGGGTTGAAATAACCAATTAGGCCACAAACTATGGAAGGCCATAGGGGACTTTCTTGAAATGATAATGTAGACTTGAAAATTAAAGGTAACTCCACAAAAGTATAATCTTCAACATAGGTATGCATTGTTAAAGTAGATGAAAACAAAAATGCAAAGATACAATTTCCTTTTCAAATGGGCCTTTTATGACCATACTAAATTAAATTGAAATTGCTTTATGAGAGTGATGAAATACCCGGTCTGCTCTGGACAGATAACAAGGTTGTTGAGCCCCAGGAGAGAGCAGGAAGGCTAGATCTGCCAGACAGATGTTTGCTGTCAGAGTGCGATGATGCCCACTGCTCTCATCCACACAATCCAGGCTGCCAAAACAGTCAGTTGGCATGATGGGAACTCTGTGAGTTTGTCATTTGAGTGAAAGTAGTAACCATATATTTGAGAGCCCTACACTGGATTTAGAGTTACACAATGGAAAGGGAAGAAAGAACATAAAACATCTGGGAAAGTCCCTCTATATCTCTTGTTTATCTCAGATTAGATTAGATTATATATTATATATATATTTAATTGTCATTGCACTAGAGTACAAAAAATGGCTATTAGCATCTAACTCTTTTACAACATTAACTGTATAGTACTTTTCTCCTTTGATTATTGAGTGAAACTGACAGTAAATGTAATTCATCAATCATTTTTGATGTCTTTCTAATTATAATCTGAATTAAAAAGTGTTATTATTAAGGTCGTTTGTTGAGGCCAATTTCGCACATTGCACAATTAACTTTTAATGGAAAAAAAACTAAGGGGAAATTACTGGAACGAAAAGGGACTTTCTACAGCTCATTGTCTAGTCGCTTTCCTATCAGAAACCTTTGTTTTACACAATGAGAGATGACAGTATGCACAGTTCTCCTTAATGGCATTTGTTTCAATGTAGACATCTCACTCATGCTACCATGAAAACAGGGGTTGCACAAGTAACCACGTTTTTTTACTTCATTTTCCTACATAAACGCATATTTGATTGATTTTTTTCATGCAATACAGACATGATAGATTACAAATGTAATCTCTGGGGGGAAAAGCATGCATGAGTGAAATCAGTGAGATGTCAGTTTGTACCTTGTGTTAGAGCTTGCTGGTCAAAGGAAGGCTGAGGAAGTGCTGGTGTCTCAAACTGGCTGATGTTTTGAGGCAAAGCATGTTGGGTGGTCACATACGAATCTGTCAACAGAAGAAAAAAAAGATGCAGGATAGTCTTAAACTCGCAAGGTTTAAGATGGATAGGAATGGCATCTTAACTATCAATTAAATTATTCTGGTCATAATTCTCTTATTTTTCTGAACCTTGGTGGTGTTTACCCAATTTACTTCCACGGGTCATTATCCATAAAAACAATGTCTCGCATATAAATAATCGCTTATATTAACTACATAATCCATCATGCATTGTCATGGCAACTGCAAAGTAAAAAGGGGTCCATTATTTAAAACATAATAAACATAATTTATTACAAAGTGAAGGCTTAATTCAGATCTAGATAACTATATATGATATATATATATTAGTGCTGTCAAAATTATCGCGTTAACGGCGGTAATTAATTTTTTGAATTAATTGCGTTAAAATATTTAACGCATTTAACGCATGTGCAGAATGGCCCGCCCCATACGTGCCACCAGTGGCAGCGCCAGGGTATGGCTGGGGTAGGCTACACCCATACCAAGAAATGGCTTAGCCCCACCATGAAAAATGATGTTAAAGTAAGCAAAATATAGTCCGCCAACTCGCGCGGAGTAAATTGCACAGACAGCAGTTAGTAAGATTGATTTCAGTAGCCACGGTTTTGAAAACTTTTGTCACATACATAGTGATCGTCTTCTCAATAGAACATCTTTGATAACGGCGTGGCGTTGTTGCAGGAAGTCCCGACGGAGAATACTTTAGCTGTAGTACAGGGGTGCACATAACTGGTACGCAGGTTATGTGCGTAATCTGAAATGCGTAACGTCACTTGTGTCACAAAGCGCATTTGCGTACCGACGTACTTGTGAAGCTTTTCCAGAAGGCGGTTAGATCACCGGACGACAGAGTCGGTCTCTGTGTGCACAGACAGGGCTGCTGTTAACGTAGGTCTGTACAACGGAATTGTGCCAAAACTACGCCAACCGGCGGCGGAGGGAGACTCCCCCCCTTCACTGGAGAACTGCGCTAAAACAGCTGATCACAACGTTCACACTGTGGTCACGAAGTACTCCACTAGCCGCCGCGCCCCCCGACCCCCCCCCCTGTTGATAGAAATCAACACGTAATGAATTAAGACCCCACGGTTTGATGATTGATAGGTGTGTGGGCTGTCTTTCATTTTGACATGCAGAAAAATGTTATAATAAACATAGATACTGTATGTTAAATGGATATATCCGCCTTCTTTCATTTATCTTTCCATTCCCACAACAATATACATAAATAAATGGCCTATTTTGGACATAGTTCGAATGGTGATTAATCATGATTAATTAATTTTTAAGCTGTGATTAATCTGATTAAAATGTTTAATCGTTTGACAGCCCTAATATATATATATATATATATTATATAATATATATAAGTAACTACTAAAAGTGCACCTCTGAGCTTAAAGGTGGAGTATGTACTTTTGGAGAAACCAGCTCGAGTGCGCTAGAATTTGAAAATACACAACCGGAAAAAATCTGACCCTTCCTTCAGACTTCCTTACAGAGCCCCTCCTCCAACACACACAAACGCGCACATTACCAATGAGGGCACAAGATAAGTTTGTGCACAGATGGAAGGCTGACAGGCAGGTAGGCCATCCAATTATTTTAGCCGGGCCGGCTAAAATGATTGGTAATGCTTTTTACAGTACTACGGCTTCCACAGATGACATTTTATAATGGATTTTTTGTCAAAGCACTTAAGATATTCCTTGGAGCATTCCATGGAATATAACAAAAAGTGTTTCTGAAATAAATTACATACCCCACCTTTAAGAAATAATTGTGAATTCTTGAAAAAGGTCAATGTTAGGGCCACATGAGATGCCTCGTATCTCTTTATGGTCATTAGCATCTTCTACATTTCTACCTAGTAGTTTTTTGCACCTAATTAACTGACATTTTCATGGCTTTGTAGTTGTTTTGCGTCCCTTAACAGTTATTTTGCACATCTATGTACTCGTTTTGGTTTTCCAAAAGGCAAGGTAACAGTTAGTCCATACAGACAGGGATGTGCCACTCCTGGCCAGCCCTTTGGCCCGGAGTCTGCGTACCTTCTCCTTGTACAAGGGTCTGGTCAGTCAGGGGGACCTCCAAGGTCACTTCTTGACTTCCATTCACGACCTCTGTCTGTTCCAGTCCCAGCATACTTTGCTGCTCTTCTGAGGTAGCAGGTGGTTGATGGAGTGAGTCTCCCTCTATTTCCACCTGCATTTCATGGTCCACCGTGCCCCCTCCTAAGTGGTCATCTGATGACTGGGGCTGCAGCTGCTGGGCCAATTCATACCTGGTTTGGCAGAACATAAGTTTTATTTATTGAGGTGTTATTATGTTGTACGTGGACTTCCTTGTCAAGGAATGCTCCTAGATCTATGGGGGAAAAAAGTATAAAAGATCAAACAGCAATAAAAAACTGTGCAGAGAAAGCCCAAACCTGTGTGTCTTCATGTGCTTCCTGCAGTTGGGAGATGACTTGAAGGTCTTCTGGCAGTATGGGCACATGTAGGGTCGCAGGTCACTGTGGGTGGTCATGTGACGTCGCAGGCTGCCGCTGGTGGTGAATGTGGTGTCGCACATCAGGCACTTGTATGCCTTTAAACCAGAGTGGGTCCTGATGTGAGCCTTGAGGACTCCCGAGGAGGCAAAACCCCGACTGCACTGCAGACACTTGTAGGGCCTTTCTCCTGTATGAGACCTGGGATGATAAAAGGATAACATCACGGAGACCATAAGTAGTTTCAAGTGGGACACAAAGTATTAAAAGTAAAAAAATGCCATCTTTATACAGCAATCATTCAATATTATAAACAGAATATAATTGAACTGTACCAACTATCAGTACATGAATTAGAAAAAATACTTGTATTATAAATTCTGTATTGGACAATGTTATTCAAAGAGCTTTACCTGGTATGCTGTTTCAGATGGCTTGATTTCTTGTAGGCCTTATTACAGAACTGGCACTTGTATGGCCGGTCACTGCCCACCACATCAAGGTATTGTTGAAAGGCCAAACGGGGGTTTTGGGATGGGATGAGGCCTGTTAAGCAACATGTGAACAAGAAACATGTGTTCCATTTGAAAAAAGAAATGTAGTTAACTGCACAATGGGTTTCACTTCATCTCAAGAACAATTTAGAAGGCGAGTTTGTTCACAATCGTTAACATAACGTTTTTTTACCAAAGTCAGTGATGAGGATGGGTTCCTGCAGGGGGATGTCGGGCAGAGGTAGGTTACTCTTGGACACTTTGGCTTTGTTGGCTTTGCGAGGAAACTTGTGCTTCTTTTGCTGTAAACTTTTGAAGTGAGACGCAATGTGTGTTTTCCTGTGGCCCGATGTGCGGAAGATCTTGTCACAGTGAGGACAGGGAAAAGGACGTACACCTGGGAAGAAAGAAAAATAACTTTTGGAGAATTAGTATTTAGAGAATTAGACTGATCCTGACATGTAGATATAAACTACAATTAAATATATTAGAATGTGCTATCCCTAAGAAAATCTAGATAAATAATATAAAACCCAAGCCTTGCAGTTAGCAGGAGACAATATATATAATATATATTTATGAAAAATTACAGCACAAGAAAAAGTGACAATGATATCAAACTGTATACGCACAAGCCTTAGTGAGAAACACAGCTGAGAACATTAAGAAAAGTCTTAGCTTAGAGCTAACACGTGACAAAAAGTAAACACCTAACATAGAAAAGTGCCATTACATAGCAATCATAGACAACAACTAATGCACAGATGCACATAATAATTGAAGTGATACAGTTTTTTATTCCACACTAATGCTGACATTTCATGTCAATGGGGATGCTTGTTTAGGTCCATCTCACTAAGTAGAGGCAAATTCAGGATAATTGCAAACACATAATTGCAAATGAGGGATCTGGCTGTAGCAGCACCACTATATATGTACACAGGTCTAGCAGCTTTTGTCGCTCTCTGCATAATTTATTATACCATATAGCTGATAACTAAATGATAAAAGGCTGCCTGGAAACATTATGTTGAAAGCTCATGTACGTCCTCTTTTCTACTTAAAGGTGGGGTAGGTAAGTTTGAGAAACCGGCTCGAGATACACTTTTTGTTATATTCCATGGAATGCTCTTAACTTCCCGATAGCAATGAATATCTTAAGTGCTTTGACAACAAATCCATAAAAAAATGTCATCTGTGGAAGCCGTAGTAGCCTACTGTAAAAAGCACAACCAATCATTTTAGCCGGCCCGGCTAAAATAACTGGATGGCCTACCTGCCTGTCAGCCTTCCATCTGTGCACAACCTTATCTCGTGCCCTCATTGGTCATGTGCGCGTTCGTGTGTGTTGGAGGAGGGGCTCTGTAAGGAAGTGGCAGATTTTTTCCGGTTGTGTATTTTCAAATTCTAGCGCACTCGAGCTGGTTTCTCCAAAATTACCTACCCCACCTTTAATGGATACAAATTACGTTTGTCATTCAGATGCAGCAAAGCCAATAAAGTGCAAATGTTGATTGTTGTTAGTTTTTCTTCTTGTGTAACCCTTTCATGAAGTGCACCTGCTTCTCACCTGTATGCAGACGCATGTGTACCTTCATGCTGCCAGAAGTGGAAAAGCACTTGAGGCAGCACTGACACTCAAAGGCCTTGACGCCTGTGTGCGTTTTCATGTGTGCTGTGAGGGTACTCTTGACAGCGAACGCTCTGAAGCACTGTTTGCACTTGAAAGGCTTCTCGTGAGTGTGGATGCGGATGTGGCGGACAAGGTCGCTGGGCTTCTTGAACTCCTTGGAGCAGTACGGGCAGCCGTGCCAGCGGACGCCGTTCTCCTCCCTGATGGAGCCTGGAGGGAAGGCAGAGTGAAGCAGACATATTTTACTGTCGATAGCTCGGGGCTGCAACTTAAAGCTTTTTAAATGATGATATTATCGATCATCTTTTTCATTGATGTATCACCAAGTTAGTATAACGTTGGTCAATAAAATGACAGATTTTTAGAGTAAGAAAATGAACAGGGACGATAAAAAAATACTTTTTCAGGAAGAGGAAATAGACCTAGCCTGAAAACATTAAACCGCAATTAATCCGCAACCCAATCTCTGACAATGTATACAGATATTACATTAAAAAAAGTTTTATGAATAAAATGCATCTAATATGTACGGTGGCCCTGAAGTGCAAGACACCACAGCATTTCACAAAACACAACAGCATTTCAGAAAACACAACAGCATTTCACATTGGACGGAAAGGGTATTCCTTAGGGAGAACACTTCTTGTTTGTGATTGGACAGAGCCAGCCAGAGAAGCACTGCTGTGATTGGTTGTTTTTGCTACCAGTCAAGAAATGACGCTTCGTGATTGGCCCAACACATCAGCCGTTAGCTGTTAGCACACACTCAGAGCTCACAGCTCCTCATATCTGTTCAGAAACTGGACAAAAGTTAAACATATACAAAACACAGACTGTCTATGTCATTTCGAATACAGTCGCTGCTTTATTTATGTCTGTATGACGTTGTTGTGAGTGTGGACGGAGCAGCTACAGGTTAGTTTAGCCTGATCGATCCGATTCCGATAGGATTTACATGGACATACGCCCCGCCCCCTCTCCAGCGTCTTGTTTGAATGACAGGAGTAAACACAGAATTAATGCTTTATTAATTCATGGTTTTTAAGGGGCTTATCTCCATGTAAATACTATGGTAGACTACTCAATATTCGCATCGCTCTAATCGCTCGAGTTTCACCGCGGCTGTCAGCTGTGTTTGCTCCTGTCATTCAAACAAGACGCGCTGGAGAGGGGGCGGGGCGTATCTCCATGTAAATCCTAAGGGAGATACCAACTACAACAAAATGAACATATTTGACCTTGATTTAATTGTAATACATGTTTCAAAGTGATGCCGAAGTAACTACATACTGATAACGGTTAGTAAAAACCATGAATTAACGCTTTGACAAGTCTGCAAACAAGACGGCAAGTGAAAAGCTTTTAAAATTCGTGTTTTCTGAATGGAATCGGAACCATCAGGCTAAACTAACCTGTTGCTGCTCCGTCCACACTCACAACAACGTCATACAGACATAAATAAAGCAGCGACTGTATTCGCCATGACACAGACAGTCTGTGGTTTGTACATGTTTAACTTTTGTCCAGTTTCTGAACAGATATGAGGAGCTGTGAGCTCTGAGTGTGTGCTAACGGCTGATGTGTTGGGACCGGTTGGGACATATTGCGCTGTCGGGCGTTGACCAATCACGAAGCGTCACAAATGCTGTGGTGTTTTGTGAAATGCTGTGGTGTTTTCTGAAATGCTGTTGTGTTTTGTGAAATGCTGTGGTGTCTTGCACTTCAGGGCCACTGTAAATATGAATAAATCAATGAATACTATATTTATATAAAAAGCAAGCTCATTTATATACAGCTAATCGCACTGATGTTTCATTTATGCCACGAACTTCATATATATGCAAATAACTTCCAAGGAAAAGGACAGTTTAAATTGTATTTTTGAACGTTAGTAAAATAACTTAATTAAGAGTCCTTAAACAGTAAATTCCTTTTATAATTACATCAAACCCTTATATTGCAAACACATCTTCAAATGATCTCACTCTATCTGCACATTTTTAACACAATTATTCATAAATAACTGAACTGATTTATTAGTTATCTAACTTAAAATGTCTTAGTTTCAAGTCGTGAATTAATTAATAACTGTACTGAAAGGCAACTACAAACCTACTGAACTTCAACACTATGTCAAAATCTCATTTGAGTTTGTCATTGTGATAAGATGCTTTTGTGAATGTCGTGTAATACCGATCCTACCTGGCATTTGTATGGGTTTCTTGAAAATGCTCCTTTTCTTTTCCCTGAATGGTTTGTCGTGAATTTGAACTCTCCTGCTCTCTCCGGTTCTGCCCTCCGTGCTCTGGTTCTCTCTGGATGTGTTGTCGCTCTGCGGCTGGACCACACTCAGCCCACTGTTCTCCAGAGCTTGCTACGAAAGGAACATAAGAAAAACTGCTCAAACACCACAGCTTGAAAACGCCTTCATGTAACACAATCTACATTAAGGGTAATGCGGGTCAAATCCTACAATAGAATGTTTCCTAAATACTAACCACTTAAAGAATAATAAACTCCGCCAGGCCTATGCCACGCCATTTTACCAGCCTGTGGGGGTTGCAAATTATTTCCTTCATCTTGGCTAAAAACAAGCCTTAACTACAATCAAAAATCATGTATTAGTCCCACAGTGGGAAAATGTACATTGTCATGGCAAAGAGAAATTGCCAATACAAGTACAAATAAATAAGAAGTAGATTAACATATTATATGTGAACATATGAAAGTAGTAAAGTAGCAGCCATTAATGACATAAATTCATTGTAAAAAAGTATAAATTGCATCTAGCAACAGGGTTGTTACAGTGTGAGGTAGTGAAGTAGCAGCTCTGTAGCTTGTGTGCATGTGACAAATAAAGCCTTTAAATTTAAATGTGTTATTATAGTCTGTATTTGTGTTCGGCATGCTGCAGTGCAATTCAAAGCCTTTGTATAGTGGCTCAAAAAACTGACCATAGAAAAGTTTGTTTTCAGTTTCAAGTAGAACTTGTGCAGAATAATTCCATCCCGATGTTATGGCCCACTACATTTAGGCACAATACCAGGGGGGACAATTGAGTTTATGTATGAGGGGAGAGGGAGACACAGCTGGTTAAGTATATTTTCTTATTTATTATTATAGATTCAACCATTTGAGGTATGGCTTGAAATAATGTTACAAAGCTCAGTCATAATCAAACCATCTTGGGATGAAAGCAAAGGCTCTATTAAACTCTCCAGTAGTGTTCAACTTAAAGGTTCTCGTTCCCCCAGCGTGGGGCTATTTTTCGACAAGCACCAGAATCCTGCCTTTCAATCTCTCCCTTTGGCCGACTGCCCACCGATTCAACATGTCGAATCGGTGGGTTTTCGGCCGAAAAGGTGTCGGCACGGCTGAAAAGACACAACGGTGCGGGACACACCAATCTGAGTAGGGCGTGTCGACGCTCATCGTCGGCCTGACGCCCATAGACGGCCAAAATCGGCTTGGTGTGTCCGGGCCTTAAAAGGAAGGCAACTTGAATGCGCAGATCACTTACGGCCCGTCTACACTACAGGCATCGAAAAATGCTTTCAACGCTTCGCCCATTCATTTGAATGGGGTGACGTAGAAGATTTTTAAACTTCGCCGAACTGCATTGTGGGGAGCATGGCATGGCTTTGCAAGCATCACGAGCATCTATCAGCATCAAAAGTTGAACAATGTTCAACTTTTGAGGCTCGATGCTTGGCAACAGCCAATCAAATCCTGCGTATGCAAATCTGCCAGTACAAGCGCTAGCCAATCAAACCGCGTGTATGCTGGGAGAGACTAGCAGGTCATTTCCTCATATTCAAAAAAATGGAGGGAAAATTCATTATAGCGGTAGTGAATCACCCGGTGCTGTATGATCAGTCTCTGTTCATCTACCGGGATACAAACCGGAGGAGCGAGGCATGGAGGGAGGTGGCAGAGACAGTGGATGAAACTGGTAGGTTTTCGCCTGTTTGGGGATTTTATATCCAGTTTACTTCGTTTTAACATTGCTATTGCTTTGTATTCTGTTTTCTTCAAGGTTGTGTCTTCCTGGTCGAATGTACTTATTGTAAGTCGCTTTGGATAAAAGCGTCAGCTAAATGCAATGTAATGTAATGTAATGTATGCCGGGGGCGGGCGGGAGATTCTGGATTGGTTGTTGGTCGCCTTGGGCGCGAGAAATCGCCAAGCCTCAGACACGCCCAGCTTCAAGATTTTTTGATGCCTGTAGTGTAGACGGGCCGTTAGCTTCAAGAAAATATCTATTCAAGGACTTTTTTGAGAAACTTTTTAATCTTTTAATTTCCTCTAATATTATTCCCACTGTGAGTCCTCCGACTTCCATCCGCATCGCTTCAGTAACTTCTTGAGGTCTTAAGAGGTGCAGCTGCTGGTGTGTGGAGCTGAGGATTTGTATGCTCAGACACACACAGAAAGAAAGACGAGGAGAGTTCTCATTCATAACACTCCGTTCGATGTCTCACTATGGGATGCGCCTCATCGCGGAGCAAACAGAAGCATCAATCTCATTACGCCAATCCTGATTGGCTGGTGATCTTGACGTCAGCGTCAGGGAACTCACCCCCTATAAGTAGCTTGCGCCACGACGCATGCGTCATTCAAACACCTCTTCTCGCTTCAGAGCACATCTCCATAGTAGCCGGACAAGCTTAATGGTCCACAGACTGAACCCAAATATAACCATTTCGGTCGACGGGCGCTCGCCGGCTACTCCTTCTGCTTTGCAGGAAGACGGTAATACTAACGCCAGTTAGTATTGAAATCGACCTCGCCGTTCTCTTTCCCCGGAAAGTAAGGTCGGTCTGATTTTTTCAAGCTAGCAACAGGTGTGTTGCTAGCTCGCTCCCTCACTATCGACACCACGGTAGCGAGGAAGCTTTTTCTTTTCTCTTCCCCACGGAGGAGGAAAGGATTAAAGGAGCATACTATGGAGTCAGATTTGGGTCAATATTCTCGCGCATAAAACAAGCTACTCACGAGCGGAAAATGTGCTTTTACACGCGCATAAAATGACCCTCGTGCACAGATTAAACCCCCGCGAGCGGGCGCAGAGCCGCTCGAGAGAGACAGCCCTCTTGCTTGCTCGAGGGAGTGTCAGCCTCGCGGAGTCTGTCTACGCGCGCGTGAAAAGTTTCTGGCACTTTGGGGCGGAGCCACTGGACTTTGATTGACAGCTGCCAGGAAACACGGGGTTGCCAGGTTTGATAAATGCCTGAACTGCCAAGAGCCGAGCAGTGACGGCAGCAAAATCAGTTGGACGAGATTGAATGGTAAAGTTGTCCATAAAAAACTATTATATTCGTAAAGTGTATAGCTAATATATATATATATATATATATATATATATATATATATATATATATGATTCTGTTTTCTTCAAGGTTGTGTCTTCCTGGTCGAATGTACTTATTGTAAGTCGCTTTGGATACAAGCGTCAGCTAAATGTAATGTAATGTAATATACATTAATTTGATATAAAACAATATATTTTTCAGTGGGCTGTGTCCGTCGAAAACTGCTAGCTACTGTCTGCTGTACGCACCTAGATTTTGCTGCCGTCACTGCTCGGCTCTTGGTAGTTCAGGCATTTATCAAACCTGGCAACCCCGGGTTTCCTGGCAGCTGTCAATCAAAGTCCAGTGGCTCCGCCCCAAAGTGCCAGAAACTTTTCACGCGCACGTAGACAGACTCCGCGAGGCTGACACTCCCGCGAGCAAGCAAGAGGGCTGTCTCTCTCGCTCACGAGCGCAGAGCCGCTCGCGGGCGCAGAGCCGCTCGCGGGCGCAGAGCCGCTCGCGGGCGCAGAGCCGCTCGCGGGGGTTTAATCTGCGCGCGAGGGTCATTTTATGCGCGTGTAAAAGCACATTTTCCGCTCGTGAGTAGCTTGTTTTACGCGCTAGAATATTGACCCAAATCTGACTCCATACGTACTGTCACACCAGTCAGTATTCTCCGGGAATAAAAGACCCACACCGTCCATTTCTCCGGATTAAGGACAGAGTGGTAACACCTTTTTTCTCCCAATTTACCTGTTGAGAGCGGGTCCTCTCCACGCCACGAGGCGAACAAGATGGACGCCTCTCTCCCTCACACTCTGCGGCTGCGGGTTGAAGATCTCGGGCACAGACACACACCAGGTCTGCTCGTCCTGCCTCGGGCTGGAACACGCCCGAGGCGCTATCGACAAGGAGACGAGGGCGAGCTGGCCTAGAAAATCTCCGGTTCCGGCTGCAGCTCAGGCGCAGCCAACCCATAATTTCGGCCAGCAGTCGAGGAAGAAGAAGCGAGCGGCGTGACAGCCCCTCCTTCTCCCCTCTGTGACAGAGCTGGAAGTCCATGGTTCCCCAGCTCTAAATGTGTTCCCGCCGCCTCGAGAGATGCCTCAACACCATCCTCAAGTCCGCACAAACACATGTCACACATTTGTTGATTTTTCTGTCATAAAACATTTGCCGCTGACGCATCCAGGCTTCAGGCCGAGGGCGCAGCTCAAATAAATGAAAAGAAAAAACAATAAAAACCAATAAACAGCCCGTCAACTGTTCCCCTTCTGAAAGCAGCTACGGCATCTCGTAAAAGGCGGATTACAGGCGGGTCTGTGAAGGCACCACGCGCATGCGCAGTGCCGGCTGGGGCTTTAAAGGCACCACCGTCACGCGCATGCGCAGTGCCGGCTGGGGTTGTGAAGGCACCACCGTCATGCGCAGTGTCGGTGGGGATTGTCGAAAAGGGGCACCACTGTGTTCAGACACTAGAGGGCCCCATAACACAACAAATAGAGACTCAGAGGGGAAGAGACGTGACATCTCCACTGGCTCTAAGGAGCATGCAGTGGAAGATGCTCACATCATCTGCTTGGGTTTTCAAAGGGTTAGAGTGATGGTTACTGTGAAATGCGTAATGGCACTGCGCCACTGGCTGCACCCGACTTTTCTAGTACGAGGTGTGCCTATGGGTGCTGTCCTTTCACGGAAAGTGGTCACCACGGACGCATGTCTGACAGGTTGGGGAGGTATTTATGAAGGTCGCCCGGTGAGGGGTCTCTGGAGCAGAGACCTCCAGCGGGCACACATAAATTACCTGGAGCTTTTAGCGGTGTTTCTCACCCTAAAACGCTTTCTGCCTTTCCTCAGGGGACATCACGTCCTCGTGAGAACAGACAATACGACCACAATATCGTATATTAACCGCCAAGGGGGTTTGCGTTCTCTCCAGTTACACACACTGGCGCGCAAACTGATCCTATGGAGCGGTAGACGTCTCCTCTCTCTGAGAGCGACGCACGTACCGGGACCACTTTATGCAGACTGGACTCTACATCCAAGGATTGTGAGCCAGCTGTGGGTGCATTACGGCAGAGCCGCGGTGGATCTGTTCGCATCGAAAGACAACACTCAGTGTCAGCTGTTCTTTTCGATGCGCGATCTAAATGCACCGTTAGGCGTGGATGCACTCGCGCACGATTGGCCCCCGGGCCTTCTGTACGCGTTCCCACCCCTGGCTCTGATACCCCAACTCTGGCCAGAGTGAGAGAGCAACGCCACACACTTATCCTGATAGCTCCGCACTGGCCAGCTATGTACTGGCTAGCGGAGATATATCAGCTGCTGTGCGGGCAGCCATGGCAGCTCCCACTACGCAGGGACATACTGTCCCAAGCGGGGGGGGCGATCTTTCACGCACACCCAGAGCGCTTGGCTCTATGGGCCTGGCCCGTGAGTGGTACAATCTGAATACAGTGTGACATGAAGCTGACCCTGGCAGCTGCCAAGCGAGCCAGTGGCACTCATGCACTATCTGTACAGTCTTCATGCACTCAGTTCGCCCCAGGGCAAACAGAGTGTGGTTGAAGCCCAACCCTGCCTTTATCTTAAGGCGGTTGGTTCAGGTACCACATTTGACATTGAGGCATCCTCCCCGCCACTGTATTCCTCCGGGGAACAGCGGCCGGATTTGCCGTGTCCAGCCCGTGCTTTACGCACGTACAGGGACAGATCAAGGGTGCTTCGTCATAATGACCAACCCCTTGTGTCCTGGGCTAACCCTTATGGGCAAGCCTGTTACTAAGCAACGGCTCTCCCACTGGTTTGTGGAAGCAATTGCATTGGGGCCCATACGAGTCAGAGTTCGCAGGCACCCTCGGGTCCGCGAGCTCTTTCGACTCAGGGTCTGGCTGCATCCAGGGCTCTGTCCAGGATGTCTCCCATCCAAGACATTGGTGCAGCGGCGGGCTGGTCCTCGCCGCTCACTTTTGTCCGCCTCTTAACAGGCTGGACGTTCTGCTCCCAGTGTGACTCAAGCAGTGCTGGGCACCTGGTTGAGTCAGAGCTCTACCTGTTAAGTTCTGGTTGGTTTGGTGATTTTCGAGATAAGCTCGTCTGACAATACGGGAGCTACAATTTCCCATAGTGAGACATCGAACGGAGTGTTATGAATGAGAACTATAGGTTACTTACGTAACCCCAGTTCTCAGAGTAACATGAAGTGAGATGTCTCACCAGACGGCCCTCCTTGCTATGGTGAAGCGAGAAGAGGTGCTTATTTTGAATTCCCTGACGCTGACGTCAAGATCACCAGCCAATCAGGATTGGCGTAATGAGATTGATGCTTCTGTTTGCTCCGCGATGAGGCGCATCCCATATTGAGACATCTCACTTCATGTTACTCTGAGAACTGGGGTTACGTAAGTACCTATAGATTTCCAGAAGGATTTCTTTAATCCATGTTTATAACCTCAAGAGTGCATGTCGCATTGGAGCTAAAATAGAACACTAGATAAAGAGCTCTTATATAATATAAAATAATAATTGAATCATATGCTGTAGATCAGTGGTTCTCAAATGGGGGTACGCAGACCCCTAGGGGTACGTTGGTGTACTGCAGGGGGTACGTGAGATTTATTTTATGTTAATGAAAAAAAAAAAACATAATTAATGCATTTAAACAAACTACTAATAGTAGATTAACTACTTTATTCAAAAGTTTACAGTAATTCTGGATAATAAAATGGGAAAAGTAAACGGGGTGCTCTCTTTTCCTCTCCCTCTCCTGACAGCCCGTCAGTCTCGTGCAGCTCGCTGAACCTGTAATAAGTGACCCGACAGTAAAGAATACATACACAGAACAAAAATATAAACGCAACACTTTTGTTTTTGCTCCCATTTTTCATGAGATGAACTCAAAGATCTAAAACCTTTTCTATATACACAAAATAACCATTTCTCTCAAATATTGTTCACAAATCTGAAAAAATCTCTGATAGTGAGCACTTCTCCTTTGCAGAGATAATCCATCCCACCTCACAGGTGTGGCATATCAAGATGCTGATTAGACAGCATGATTATTGCACAGGTGTGCCTTAGGCTGGCCACAATAAAAGGCCACTCTGAAACGTGCAGTTTTGCTTTATTGGGGGGGTCCGAAAACCAGTCAGTATCTGGTGTGACCACCATTTGCCTCACGCAGTGCAACAGATCTCCTTCACATAGAGTTGATGAGGTTGTTGATTGTGGCCTGTGGAATGTTGGTCCACTCCTCTTCAATGGCTGTGTGAAGTTGCTGGATATTGGCAGGAACTGGAACACGCTGTCGTATACGCCGATCCAGAGCATCCCAAACATGCTCAATGGGTGACATGTCCGGTGAGTATGCTGGCCATGCAAGAACTGGGATGTTTTCAGCCTCCAGGAATTGTGTACAGATCCTTGCAACATGGGGCCGTGCATTATCATGCTGCAACATGAGGTGATGGTCGTGGATGAATGGCACAACAATGGGCCTCAGGATCTCGTCACGGTATCTCTGTGCATTCACAATGCCATCAATAAAATGCACCCGTGTTCGTCGTCCATAACATACGCCTGCCCATACCATAACCCCACCACTACCATGGGCCACTCGATTCACAACATTGACATCAGAAAACCGCTCACCCCCACGACGCCACACACGCTGTCTGCCATCTGCCCTGAACAGTGAAAACCGGGATTCATCCGTGAAGAGAACAGCTCTCCAACGTGCCAGACGCCATCGAATGTGAGCATTTGCCCACTCAAGTCGCTTACGACGACGAACCGGAGTCAGGTCGAGACCCCGATGAGGACGACGAGCATGCAGATGAGCTTCCCTGAGACGGTTTCTGACAGTTTGTGCAGAAATTCTTTGGTTATGCAAACCGATTGTTGCAGCAGCTGTCCGAGTGGCTGGTCTCAGACGATCTTAGAGGTGAACATGCTGGATGTGGAGGTCCTGGGCTGGTGTGGTTACACGTGGTCTGCGGTTGTGAGGCCGGTTGGATGTACTGCCAAATTCTCTGAAACGCCTTTGGAGACGGCTTATGGTAGAGAAATGAACATTCAATTCACGGGCAACAGCTCTGGTGGACATTCCTGCTGTCAGCATACCAATTGCACGCTCCCTCAAAACTTGCGACATCTGTGGCATTGTGGCCTTTTATTGTGGCCAGCCTAAGGCACATCTGTGCAATAATCATGCTGTCTAATCAGCATCTTGATATTCCAGGTGGGATGGATTATCTCGGCTCACTATCACAGATTTTTTCAAATTTGTGAACAATATTTGAGAGAAATGGTTATTTTGTGTATATAGAAAATGTTTTAGATCTTTGAGTTCATCTCATGAAAAATGGAAGCAAAAATAAAAGTGTTGCATTTATATTTTTGTTCAGTGTATATGGATAACTAGTTTAGCTAGTTCCAGAGTAGATAAACTAGCTAAGTGTGTTAGGTCTAACTCTAAGTGTATTTTGCTCGGCTCAAAGGTCCGTCACAGCGGCGGAGCAGTGATAATGCAGAGCTGCGTGTTCTCCGTCAGCAGCAGCTGCTCTGATCTCTCTCTAGCGTCCGGTTATACTTCACTCGCGTCTATGTCCAAATCTATCAGATCTAGCTAGTTCTAGTTAATTATATGACTGCCTGCTTTTCAAAAGGACATAAACAATAAGCGTTGCTTGACAACGGCGTGTGGCCGCAAAGTATAGCGCAGCATTATGCATATGTTTATATGAGGGGTCAAAATCCCATGCTCATAAAATGATCATATATATGTTTCTCTTCATTCCCCACGCCCCAAAATAAATAAATATACCAATTTTAGGAAAAGTAACGAAGTTTGAGCAGTGTGGGTTTTATATTGACAGAGTTACACATTTCAAAACGCAGAGTGTAATAACTGCAGTGGCCTCCCTGTCAGAATGACAAAGGTCCTCAGTGAAGCACAAGCCCATGTTTCACTACATTGTAAGTACAACTTATTAAAAAGATCAGTTCGATGCAACTAATGTCGTCTTAGTGTTATTGCATGATGTTAAAATTGGTTTGCCATGAATTTAGTGATGGATTGTAAACATTTGAAATGTAGCATTTAAGTGTTTCTCATGTTGTTGTTTTAATAAATCAGACACTGATGGTGCAGCGCTGTACCTCTTTATATAGGCTTTTTTTCCTTAACAAATTGTTTTTGCGCTGATAAGGGGGTACTTTTTTTTTTCAAAGGGGGTACATGATTGAAAAAAGTTTGAGAACCACTGCTAGATAATAATTATATGGGAGAAGATGAGTGCCACATTTTTTTTATCTTACCAAAAGTTATTATTTATTTGTTTTATTCTTAGATTAAAGACAGAATTCTGAGACTTAAGTCAGAGTTTATAGAAAAAAAGTCAGAATCTCAGGATCCTAGGATTCTTGTCCTAATTCCAATTTAATTGTATTATGGACTGGTACAATAGAGACTTCCTAAGTCTAAGTTAATTAAATCTGGGGTCCTTGGATCGCCGATTTATTGGCAAAAATGTATATTAGCTGTTAGGGACATAGTTCAAGAAAATGTTTTTGGCTCTTCTCAATATGAAATTATAGTTGATTGATTTAAATTTTTGAGGAGATTTTCATTCGGTGGAGCAGTTTTGATTTAAAAGCGGTGGACAAACACTTGTAACATGCATTATTGTAATACTGTAGAGTAATCGGAATCATAGATGTTAAAAACAAAAATAATTTGTCTACTCGCCTTAAAAGTGGTTAAGGAAATAAAGTATTTGTTTGTATTTTTGCAGATATATTCAATTGTCTTTGGATAGCAGACAGTCTATCATTACACCCAAGTATGAAGATGAGAAGTACGATCTTGATATCTATTTAGTTTTGTGTTATGTTTTAGTTTTGTATGTCAGCTTTAAGACCTGATTACTTTTTGTACCCCAATTGATGTAGTGTGGTTGAATGTGCTTTGCTCACCTGCAGGATGTCCTGGTTAATGGCAGTTTCCATGGCGATAGCTGGCTCCGAAGGCTGGGGCTGCGCTGCGTCCCCGCTGACCTGCTCAGACAGCTCCAGGAGCTGCTGGATGACATCTGTCACCCCCTCGCCGGCCTCTGACCCCCCGGGACCCTGACCTGTGCTCTCTGTCTCCTGAGGGGGGGAGGAGGAGAGGAACAGAGTAAGGTTTGGGCAAAAAGACATAGAGCTTTTCACAAGATCAGGACAGGTCGAAATTGTAGAGCTGAATAGTATTTAGAAGGGTCTCTCTGCAGTATGAATGAACAAATCAGAGGACGTTATTGAAGAATGAGGTAATTAGTGGATAGAGTGCTGGACTTCGAAACAGGGGGTAGCAAGTTCGAGTCCCACTGCAGTCAGCATGTAGTTGTGTCCCTGGGCAAGACACTTCACACCAAATTGCTCCTGTAGGGATTGTCCACAGTACTGAATGTATGTAAGTCGCTTTGGATAAAAGCGTCGAACAAATGACATGTAATGTAGTGTCTACACCAGTCTGAATCATTGATACTTTCATTAATCTTGCAGCAAGGACAATTAAATAAATCAAAATGCGGCTATGTGTATATAAAGAGTCTTGCACTGTTCTTTTATTAATTATTACATAACCATTATACACCAAGAACATTCCTTGTATGGTTACACCTACTTGGCAAATACCCTGATTCTGGTTTTCGATTCAGTTTTCAACTGGACCTGTCTAAAGTGTACCTGTATTAAATGTATTAACCTTATTCACCAGGGTCAAAATAATTAACATTAACTTGAATATACTAAAGTAAAGCAGGGCTCATTCAGTGTCTTACTGGAGTGCCTGAGGGAACCTCAATCACAGAGATGTGCATCTTGCTGATGTGGGCATTCAGACTGCCCAGCTTCTTGAACACACAGCTGCAGTCCATGCATGGGAACAGCGGTACACCTTTAGTCTGTAAGAGAATATAAAACACATCAAATACATTACCCCTGGCTGCTGAGTAGGCTATTTTGCTGCTAAAGCTCCCCTAAAGTGACTCAACCTAGTCACTGAAAGTATTCCATTTCACAATTAAATGTATGCTGATATTATCCCCGCCTGTCACAGTACCGGGGGAATTGAGTAAGAGGTGTTCATCTGTTAATGTAATTTGACGGGGATGCTGATTTCAGCTGCTAGAACTCTAGAATCATTTATTTGCTTGCCAAACCTCGGAAATAATATATAAAGATTACGGAGCACCATTTCACACGGTGATGAGTTTAAATTATAATTTCAGAATGAAGATGGAAAGATACTGCATTTGGTGTTCTTTACTTTTGTTTGTTGTGTAATGATACAAGCTGCTTATTTATTGTTTATATATTTGAATACATTTTTAAAGAAATAAAGGTTTTGAGGGTATATTGCCTTTTCCCTTGTATTCTGTTTAACAATAATCCAATACGACTGGTATGTCTGACTTCAATAAGTCATAAGCATGATGCTGCTGTTGTGTGTGCCCTTCATAGGTATACATCTAGAGTACTTGCACCCATTAGGGGGTCTTTTACTATGATCTATAATAACATATGTAGGAGTAAGAAAGTGTTCTCTTGTGAATGTCACTACCTCATAGCTCCTGATTTATTACAGCACAAAGTGGATAATGCAAAGCAGGCATGCCCTTATAAATGCCATGTAGAGTTGTATTTTTTTTTTTCAATCTCAAGTACAATAATATTTTGATAATCGGGGGTTCAAAACGAATTATTGTAGAAGCTAAGCCAATGCTTTAAGCCACTGAGGTGCTGCTTTGATGACGTAATGGACATACACTTTAGCTCGTCTGGTGAATAAAAGTCAGGTAGCATTTTTTCTAGTTGAACCTTTAGTCCATTTATTTTCCACTTTTTTTTACCATTAAACTTGAATCAGCTTCCGTCACCAAACAAAATGACATTTCAAAAACGTTTTGGCCATCCGGTGGAACCCGAGTGATTAAACATTGGTTCCTACTTTTAAACCCAGAGCGCTAATTGGCTCCAACAATCATTCTCCAACTCCAATCTAAGTATTAAGTTCCAGTAGTGTACAGTGCTCCAGCCACTGAATGTTACTCTGTTTCTTGACATTAGCAATATTTTGCTTTCTGTTTGATGTATTTAATGATTATGTGGATATTTGATTCAGAATCCGAAATGGGAAGAAGGTTGTGTTGACTTTTAATTTAGAAAGTGTGGAGTTTGTTGTCTTTGGGGGATGCAAATATCAAGATCAGGTGCAGGGATAATATGATCAAGTTTGGCTAATTTTTCTAGTTATTTGGAGTACATTTTAAAATGATCACAGAATCCTAGAAATTAAGCAGAGATGAGTAACATGCTGATCTTATAGAGGGGGAATTAACTTGACAATTGAACCACTGACATAAAAGATTGAAAAGCCAGCAAGTGGGTGGAAAACAACGTTTTAAGTGACGCTACTTGAAAAACTGATTAGAACTGTAGGAGCAGAGAGAAATCCATACGAGCAAGTGAGACTGTTGAGTGCGGAGCCTAAAAGAAATCACGATTTATGGTGATTGCTTTTCCGTGAGAGGCTAACCACTGGTGAGTGGAAGATGTCAGTAGGCAGAAGAGGAAGTAAGGGAAAGGTGGCTGAAATAGGAAAGGATGCCTTTCAAGTTTGTGAGGGTGTCTGGGCATATCAAGAAACTCCAGTAATCACCATCAGGATGGTACATGTATGTGGCAACAGGGTAAAGAATGAGTGTGTATGGGAAAGCGTGTGGGATGAACAGAAGGTCATTTCTTGTGGGGCAAAGACGTGTGTTTTTACTGAAGGGGTAATCGTAACAAAAAGTTCAAGACAGAAATGATGGCTACGGTCCACTAGTAAAACAAATCAATCACATGTCTTTTTCTAACCAGTTTTTCTTTTGAATATGTCATTAGGAAAAGACCACTACAGTGTGAAGAGAATCCAATTATGCTCAGACAATGTCCTGTCGTTTATTTTTGCTTTTTCTGCTTAGGCAGGTTCCTAACGGAGCGAGGTGAGCCAGAAGAACCTAAGTGGATGAATGATAAGAGCTAAATGAAAAGTGGTGAGGGAAAGACATAGGGCCAGAATTGTTTTGGAAAATTTGACCGCAGCCATGGAGTTTAGCGATGGCATTCATTCCTTTAAAGGATTGTCCAGTGTATCATATGCTAGGAAAGATAAGAGCACTGAAGCATATGTCCTTTGCACTTAGATACTTCCTGGTAATTTAATTTAGTTAGAAACCTTTTTAAACTAAAAATATGAGAGGGGGAAATGATGGAAATCATAAATAGGAAGAAGATTTTTGTATAAGGTTCTGATGTCCTTGATTGTGCGAGTGAGTTTGAAACATATTTGGTGGTTGACGGATATTGATATTTGTGGGTGTTAAAAAAGTGGTGAAATATATTTTCTTTCAAAGAAAGTCAAAGGCAGAATGTATAGTATATTTAAGTTAATGGGCTTTTTGAATGGGTGATGGTAAATTTAAAAACGTTCTTTGGTGAACACAAGCTTAAGTGATTCAAGTTGTGTTCTGCAAAAATAAAATACAAAAAGCATGAAAGTGCTGTTCACCTGTGAAGATTAACTTGCTTTAAAAAATGTATAAGTATATAAAATGTATGTTTGCCTAAAGTCATATTTTAGGCAATAATCCAAAACTGTTACAATACTTTTAGATATACAGGAGTCATCGTTGAATTTCAAATAACTGAAAGCACATGAAATCATTTGAGGTGTTTTTAGATTTTTATTCTGGAGCTCATTTGTGTAATTCTTGAGCAGACAGTATTGCTGTCTCAACACGCCTACAGACACCTAAAACCCTTCATTACATTGGAAACAAGTTCATTTTACTCCCCTGGCTACCGAGTACACATCTGCTCATGAAATCTGTTGTGAATAATGCGTGACCATAATGTATTCATAAAGTCAGTCAAACCATGAGGACTAACTCTATCTGGAACAGAAAGCTGAAGGACACTTGTCAAAATTAGATGCATTATTCAAATGGCTCTGCTGTTTGGCTTTCCAGAAGTAATTTAATCAACTGGCCCCATCATGGGCTTTTAGTATGGAATACACAATGATGTGAGAAGTTGAGGAGAATACAAATAAAATTCCATGTTTCAATTAGTTGTAATTTCATTCGTAAAATAAGAGGAAGCGAACCCATAAGAGAACATGAATATCTATCAACACACATTGTTTCCAGGTGGATGGGGCAAACCAGCCTTCCAATAAGTTCTCATAAGCATGACTGCTCATAACATTGAGGTGCGAGAGTATTTTTATTCAGTCAGTTTGTTTGCTTTTTAAGTGCGGAAATGATAAGAATGTGTGAATATTGTTTGTACGGTTGCACCAATTTCCTGTGTCTTTTTTGTACATTATTGTTGTCACGGCTTAATTTGAATAGGAAAACTCTTTTACACTCTTAAAATAAAATAAAAGCACTGTTTTGTAGTTTATTTGAGTACATGCTCATTAAATAGGGTGTCTCATTACACAGAGATATCTCCCTATACAGTGTCTGCGGTGTGAGTGTTTCTCTGTGCTCTTACCTCGGAGTGAACTCTCTGGACGTGGGAGTGCAGGTTTCCTTTCTGGGAGAAGGAGGCTGGGCAGAACATGCAGAGGTGAGGTTTCTCTCCGGTGTGCCGCACCATGTGAGTCTGCAGCACCACCTTCTGGTTGAAAGCCTTCCCGCAATGTGAGCACTTATAGGGTCTCTCACCTGAAAGGAAAGGGTAAAGTCAGGGCAAAGACCTGTGATCATTTTACTAAGGTATTTTCCGGAATCAATATGAATGACTTGGAAAAAAGGTAAATAGTAAAGACTATGGATGGCAACTAAAACCCATCATTATCTAACTCTACTCATATTCATTAAAGCAGGTTTTAAAGCAGGTTTTAAAGCAGGTTACAGCATTAGACCAGTAAGTAATTGTGACTCTTTTTGATTAAAAAAACTAAAACCTTTTCTTCATTATTTAAACTGAATAAATAGACAATAACTTACTGTAAATATTATATTTTACACATATCAGAATTAAATCATTTTGTTCTATTGCAGTTTCATAGTGGTTGTATTTTTAGCAATGTAATATAAATAGTAAAATGATTACACATGAAACCTAGGGCAATATATCTCTATGTTATCGACATTGTTTTATGATACTAGATATCTTAATACATTTTAGATACAGTTATATACTTATATGGCATACGTGTTTTTTAAGGCTGCATTACAATGAAGTCATGTGATGTTTTAATTATCATTATGTGTGTTTATATATTTTATCAAAGTTCTAATAGTCATCCCTACAATTGGTCTAACAAATTGAGATATTTCAAATACTCCATATCGCCAGACCCTTACGACACCCACATGACATCTTTAATACTTTTACTTATCAAATCAATCTAAATGTTGTATTCATGGATTTAGCCTAAATAAAGACGAGTCTTATTCACTGATGGGTGAGTGCGTCAGAGAGAGTGAGTGAATGAGGCATCGTGCGTGCGTGCGTGCGTGTGTGTCCCAAAGCGCCTCTTAACCTCATCAGCTTGAGGGCTGTTTGAGATTTGCAGCACAGAGGAATAAACTCCATCCGTCATTAGTCATGCAGCCAGCCAGGCTACCAAACAAATTAACAAGTGGATGATGTGTAAACAACATGTGGGTGGAAGTTTCGGGCTATATAACCTGAACCCAGAAGGCTTACCAGAACAAGCGCTCACCCACACTGGAATATTAGTTTTATTAATACAGAATTGTTTTACCCATACTCTGGGTAGAGCTGAGTGGGGGGCGTACTACATCCCTCAGAAATGAAGGATTTGCCTGGGAGTGTGAACTGAGTTTGAACCAGGAGGATAACTGGTGAGATGCTGCTCTTCACAAAATTCCCACAGCCTCTGGGCCATTTGAACGGACTGTTTAAAGTGGTCCTACTCATTTCCATCTTCATATTTGTGTTAGTTTACGTCTATTGTGACATGTTTACATGCTTTAATGTTCAAAAAGCTCTTTTTCATTTTTCTCATACTGCAGCACCTTTTTTCACCCTCTGTCTGAAACCAGAGCCCAGTCTGCTCTGATTGGTTAGCTGGCCGGCTCTGTTGTGATTGGTCAACCACTTTGAGATGTAGTGCTAGCCAATAGAAGCATGATTGTTAGATAATGATGTCTGCTTTCATACTATGACAAACTTATTCTGACTAACTATAAATGTCTATATATTGCCTCATTTTGATTTCCAGTAGAGTACAACCATAATTATGTATTCACTCGGTGGATCACTGCTTAAATGTCCTTTCTAAAGCTAGAGAACATTTCAATTCTTATCTTCTTGATTAGACCTTTTTTTCCATCTAGCTTTGTTTTGTTTTGAACTTTGATGAGTATGATTGATTACGCCTTTGAAATGCAGAAAGTATGGCTTGTTGCTCTTTGGATCGATTCAGATGCACAGTACTTCATTATATTGTTCTTTTCTTTCTATATCTTAATTATAGATATAATTTAATTATTATGATACTTAACGTTAAACGGGTATCTGCTCTTTTCATGTGCACTGATCAATATTAAAGGTATTAAACAAAAAAAAGGAAAGAAAGGGAGGGTGAAGTAAGAGGTGCTTTGTTATGTAGACAGCTAATCGAGGAACATGTAATCAGAGTAAGTCCATTTCAGAAAGACAAATGTGAGACTCTAGTTATATAATACTTAATAATTACATCAATTACATTTTTGAGAAGCAGAACCCCCAACTCTTCTGTTTGTGCCCCTACATTACCAAAAGGTGTCACCCCCTCTCTGAGCTCCTCACTCACCTGTGTGTATTCGTACGTGCCTAACCAGCTGACTGGGTTTTTTGAAGGCTTTTCCGCAGTGATGGCAGCTGTTCTGGAAGGCGCTGCGGTCGATGTTCTTCTTGTAGTTTCTGGAACTACAGCTGAGCGGCCTGTGGAAAGAGGAAACACACAACAGAAGTCAAGTTGGTTTTACATACAAGTACAGATGGTCACATACACACCACATAGACACTATGAATTGCACATCATGTGAGAAGATTTTGTTCATTTAAATATTGTGAGCCCTGCGTATCACTCTGAATATCTGCACATTTTTGGATAACATTGAACATGTTATATACTGTGTTTTTCACATTTCCATTGTACTTTTTTATAGCTTTTTGTATATTTATATTCCGGGTGAATAATTATCTTTATTCTTTTAATATTAAGTAGAAGAAATATTACTTTTTTCTTTTTATATTTTCTTTTTATAATAGTTATATTTCTGCTCTTACAACTTGTTTCCTTATACAATGTTTGTGTAAGTACCACCATACACTCTAGCATGTTCCTTGTATGTGTAAATCTACTTGGCAATAAACCTGATTCTGATGATAGTTTCACAATTTCTTTGTATTGAATTTCATTTTTTTTTTTAAATTAATAATACTCTATTCCTGTCGTTTTTTGAATAGTCTCTTTTATAGTTGAGTTTGTTGGTTATCATCTACTGTCTTTTGGTTTTATAATTGTTTTGGCTATTCATCCTTGTTTTATTACTAAAATTATTATCAATATTAATAACATTAAAATAAAAACATAAGTTATGAAAGAGCAAGAAAAACATAGTTATTTCTCCCTCGACACAGTGTTTTTATAATATTTTCAGTATTCTTCCTTACACAATGTATTTTAACTTTTACATTGCACATAATAGAGGTACTGTATTGCAGGATTGCAGTACAATGGTTACATTGTATACACCAGAGACATCCTCCCAAACTGTGTTATTTCTGCTGTTGTTTCTCGGATCTTTCTGTACATTAGTTCTAATGTCAACCTTCAAATATTAATACTCTATAGTGAGTTTGCACACGGCACTGAAGACTGTGGCCCTCCACTTAGCGAAATCAATGAAAATAGAAAAAATCCAACTCTGTTGAATGGCAAATCAATTTATCCTTTTTGATTGAAGTTCATTCCAGCTTGTGAGTATATTTCACAGCCAAAATTACCAGAAAAACAATTAATGTGGAATGAATAATTGTCATATTATCTTCTCCCCTACAAGATAGCTGTTTTTATATTTTCTATTGGCAGAATGATTGTCTCTTGCAGGTCTAACTGCTGTTTCTCAGTGACTCACATACACTGCCTCTTTGTTATTCATTTGGCATATCAATTGGAAAATAATATGATATGTTTGTGGGTATAGAAGCTACACACCCCAATATCAATATTAGAGTGGTCAATTGCCTACAACAAGAGGCCGACAGTTACTTTTGATAGCTGTTAGACTCATGTTTCCCTTTGAGTCCATTTTTCCACCTGACACACTTTAATGATCTAAATGGGCATCTTGCAGCCCTGTCTGACCTCATCTTGACGTGGCTCTTCATGTGCTCCTTGAGGTGTGCGGACGTTTTGAATTCTTTGTCGCAGCTCTTGCAGGTGTAGACCTTGACTCCCGACAGCTCTTTGCGGTGCTCCTCCAAGTGCAAGGTCAGCTGGCTCTGAAGAATGAACTCATCTCCGCACTCCACACAGATCAAATTCTGAAAAAATATATTCTTTCTTTGTAACTGGTTGTGAATTCAAATCAAATCAAAGATGGTGTTATGTTGGAAGGGTCAGTTCACTAACCTCCTCCTTCTCGTGCAGCATGATATGAGACTTGAGGCTGGCGATGCGGGAGAATCTTTTAGTGCAAACGGGGCATGTGAAGTCAGAGGTTGTGTGCGTGGACCTGTGCAGTGTGAGGTTGAACTCCACGTTGAATGTCTGCGGGCACTGGTCACATCGATGAGGCTGCAAGAGAGAGAGGAAAAGTTCAATGAAAGGAAGGGAATGTTAAGGATTTCAAATGTGTCCCTCTGCATCATGCTTTTTGTTGGCAATTCTGTTTCTTTGGTGGAGACGGGAATCCTTGTAAATTAAAGTGCAACCTTCGCTGACTTGAGCACAAGGATGAATTACTGAACATGCCAGGGGTCTAACTGTGTGGGGTACTACTTACCTTCACCTTCAAAAAAATGTATACAAATAGGCATGTTTAATCCTGAAAGAGACTCCAAATGACTCACAAAGGAACATAAGACAACTATAAAGAGACCAATTCAAAGAGACATAAAACAACTACAAAGAGATGGAACGCAGCTTAAAAGAGATGCAAAGAGGATCAAAACAACTACGAAAAGACACACAACTGGCAGCAGAATGCTCAGTGGTTACAGCTGGCGGCCCATATGCGGTATCTGCTGCCAAGTACGTGTGGTTGACACCCGAGCCCGTGGAAGTATAAGGCAATATCATACCATTTTGAACACTGTATCATTAATAAAGGCTCTCTCTGGCCCGCATCATATCTGTAAAGACAAATGATGCAAAGAAAATGGGCTTCAAAAAGACCAAAACAATTAACAAGAGATGCAAACATAGCTTCAAAGAATCTACAAAGAGATTTGGAACCACTATTAAGAGCGGCTTAACAACCTTCCTCCGTTTTATTTTATTTTATATATTTTCTTATAACTAATGCTGTTGATATATTGTAATTTTAAGGGTGTCTATTACCATCTGGCCGGGGACAACAGCTGGAAATTAGCCATGTCGGCTAAAGCTGCACCATTTACTGTTTTTGTGACAGTTCATCGATGGGGACTGTCCACGACACTATACATAAATAAACTAAACTAATCACAACATTACAAATAAAGGAACACAAAACAACTACAAAGACACTCAGAGTGACTACAGGGACACAGAATGACCACAAAAAGACACAAAGCAACTTCAAAGAGATGCAACACGACTACAAAGGGAAAAACAACCAAAGACAAAAAACAACTATGATAAGACCAAAACATGTACCAAGAGATTCAACATGACATATACACTATTAATTACAGTATGTGGATAAGTAACTGCATTTATTTTGGACCAGTAAAGCTATCTTCCTATGCTCCTCCCCCCGTCCAACTTAACTGTCCCCTAGAAACAAAAAACAACAGGTGGGATAAATAATCTTTGTATTTCTGTGCTTTTACTAGCGAGAGGGGGTGACAGAAAGACCAACAAAGGGAGAAAAGCATTTTTTTTTAACGAATATCCGATGGGAGGAAGAAATGGCCCCAATATTAAATGATATTAGAGTAGCCGACTGTCTTAATTTCAGAGTACTGCAATGAAGGCCTAGAGCAATACAGACACCAGTGAGTCTGACTCAGAGCGGCAGACCTCCAGGCGGCTGCTCTTCAGCCTGGAGAGAGTACGTATTTAAGTGAATGTAGATCGAACCACTACCACAGGTGCAGCTGTAAATCAGGTAACGGAGGGTCCCGTTATCGCCTGCTAATGCTCCAAGAGACTGTTGAGAGGGGATCAAATGACCAAAGTTTTCCTTACTCTTACATTCCTGCTAATAGAACAGAGTGGACACACCCATCACTTCAGTGTGTAATGTGTGTGTGAGAGTGGCTAAGAGAGGGAGAGGCAGAGAGACAGAAAGGGAGTGTAAATGGATCTTAAAAGGGGGAATAGGGCAAAGACGTGTGTTGCAAAAGCTTTTGCAGCTGGTGAGCGGAAAGAGGAGGGCGCACTCAGGGGTAACAAGACCAATATCAAAACTCATCAATTAGGCCTAATATAACTTCAGAAATCTGCATTACTCAACATGAATTAAAACACAATTATTTTGTACGTATACTTGTCATACGAAAATGTATATTTCCCCAAAGTGGCTCACAGCAAGTCCAATCGAATATATATACAGAGGCAAAGTACGGTACTCAACTTTTTCAAGAAAGTCGCTGTTTGTCATCACCCATTTAGTTTTTCTGTGAATACACTCTACATCTCTCGTCTCGCACAATGTCAACACCAACGTGGCAGTTGCCTTGGCACGTTTCACATTGTTTTCCCAGGACTATTAAAAGAGATCAATATCCCTATAAGTCTGCGCTAAAATAGTCTAGCAAGCCGCTTTTGTTGTGTGAGTACATCCCGGTGCGAAACACACATGCATCGTTATAAGCGAGAGAAAGTGATTTAATATACAGGATTTCATTTTTTGGGTGAAATATATTTGCAGACTTAGAATTCAACTGTATCCCCTTTCTTTCTTGGGTTGCATAATTATCTTTTCACATCGTATTCATGGCACAATTCAGAAGGGATTTAAACATTATTAATTTCTTGCTGTAAGCTATCTCAGGTATTTTTCCAGAAACATGGTCCTATGACAGAAGCAGCCATTCATACAGACTGATTTATCATTCATCCGGAATGGAGTCTTGACAATAGTTTCCACTGTTCAAAGTTCAGGAGCAGACGATGTTTAGTGCTTTTTTGCTCAGTTAAACAGCCCAGCATCAAGCCCTATTTCCCGTGCAGTTTATTTAATCAGCTCAACCGAAGCTGTGCTCATTTACATCTTCGGAATTAACAAAAACCCTGTTAATTGAGCATGTCTAGGGCTCTAATGCAAAGTCGCATATGGATAAGTAAATAACGCCAGATGTGTTTTGTATTTAGAAATCCAGGAGGATGTCTAACAATGCTGCTGGTAATAGCACATTGCAGACGCTCTGGAAGCAGCTGCCACCAAATAATGTGATTGGTAGACCTGTGCTGAACTTTTCAAATAAACAATGTCCTCTACCAGCAGCTTCCACATTGTGAAAAATCATCTGAGCTGAAAATCTAGGACGCCTCGAGCTTTGACGGTAAGGCACTTGCTTGGCCCAATTCCAACCTGTAGCTGGGTCATTGTTACACAAATCATCTGTACCAAACTGCAATAATATGAAACTGCTTTTTGACAGCAATAATACAAAAGTATGGTTCTAATGAACTCGTTATACTTGCCAGATATGTGTGTGTAATAATGTAAGAATACGCTTATGATAGAGAGAAAACATACTCTACTGATGTTGTTTTGAATAGCTGTGTTCACTGTCTCTTAACCAGGTGCCGGAACGTACCTTATCGTTGATTTCATGTTCGCGGAGATGCTTCTGAAGTTGGCTCTCCGTGGTAAAGATCTGGGCGCAAATTGTACACTTCTTGTTCTTGAGCTCTCCATCTTCCCCAAAATGATCTGCCTTAGCGCCACTGGGATCTGCATCATATCGAGTACAAGAGAGAACAATAAAGTATCTTCATTTGGTTAAAGAGGCTTTACTGTGCAAATATAGAATAAATATATGATGCATTTTCTACTATTTTTGTAGTTTTATGTAAAAAAAAAATCTAAAACCAAAGACTTTCATCCTGACTGTATTTTTATATAAAGGTGCCCGGAGTTGTCAAAAAGTAACCGCACATTTTAATATGGAAGCCTCTGTGTGTCGGACAATATAACTTTAACTTTCTTCAACAAGCATTCATCAAACTTGGGGGGGGCATGCACATTATAGGCCTTTAACTTTATTGAAGCTTAAAAATATTCATGGAAGATGTTGCCCATATGATGGGTAGACAGTAGGGTAGCTATAACTGTGTGAATAAACTCCCTTTAAAACTAAGAAAGTTCAGCATTAGAACATACCAAAGAAGAATAGTACTAGTCTATACGCTGTTTTGAAAATCGCAAACATTTTATTTTGATTTCCACTATGTACTACAGCTGCCCTTACAAAGTACTGAATGTACTATTAGATGCAGTATGTATATGCATACAATTGGGACATACTACTCAGTCATTGCACTCGTTGAACTATGACCCTCTTGCTCATTATATCAACTGTGAAAAGGATTTTGGGTGAGATTAGCGAGAACAGCATGCGGACTTCTGCAAAATGCTACTGTATTTTTGGCATACTCAATTAGATATGCAATACTTATTTCTACATGTATTGCATATCATGTATATATACAAAATATGTTTGTTCTGGTATAGTAGAATGGTTTGTCATTGTGGGGGAAAGGCAGGCTATTTCAGAAGTGGAATGGCCTAGTTTAACTATGAAGAAATAGTGCCAAAGAATGCATGAACAGGTGTTTTCATTTTATCACTTTTACTTATATTATGTTGTTTATTACAATCATTGGGTGTACATAAAGGATTAATAACATATTACAGAACAATGAACGTAGGCCTACTAGTTTATAATTTGGCCTGCTGTAATTTTTCCTATAGGCCTAATTAGTATTTTAAATGTGACTATTAAAATAGTGATAACCCTCAAATGTAAACTAACTTAGGACCAACAAAGCCCCTAACTTACTCTTAAATAGTACTTTATATAATAATGTATTAGTCTCTAAGTTTGTTTCACTGTAGTTGTCTCACTAGAAGATAATGTATGTATTCAATAATTTGGTTTCACTCTCGTAGCTCGTGCTTTTGCAGTGATACGTAAATAAAGTTTATATTAAATATTGTTCGTGTGAACATGTTAGCCTGTTGATATTCAACAGTTTGATTCCACACATCCATCTTGGCTGTCACACTCGTAGGCATTCCTACAGTATGTGACTGACTGATATTAACCCACTATGAAATACAAACGTAACCGCTGTTTTAAAGCAAATGTTTTGTTTTAGTTGCCGAATTGTAGTTGCTCAAATATATCTGTGGGAGATTTTGAATAGCGTACCATTTAAGTTATCCAGCTAACATGTCACAAAAACAGTACCTCGGCTATATTATCGTAGTTTTCTAAAGATAATACCAAAATGCCAGCACATGAATGCGTTCCGACACCACATTTCGACACTTCATGTCTTCACGTGAAAATGACGACTTGTTTTGGTCATGCAGCACGGATCCATCAGTAGCAGGAGAGCCTCGCTACGCTTCACATTATCAAAATAACAATGGCAAAAGGTTGGCGTGTTAGCATTGACGCTAGCAGTAGCAGAGCGAGCTAGTTAGCAACAACATGCTAACGACGAATTACTATTAAACAAATAAGTGACAACATTGTACGTTTACTATCACTACGAAAGAGACCGCGGTTCTTCCCCTCGCGGACCCAAATTTAGACTGGAAGCCAATAAGAAGAGCCACCGAAACCTTATTAATATCATTCCGCCTCAATCACTCCTTCGCCGCACAAAGCAAAGCCCACCCGCAATACTATATCCGGGGACTATATACACTGCATGGAAGTGTTATTATATAAGATACAGAGATGCCTATCTAAATAATAGCCGGTTATTTGGATAGGCCATTATCTGTATTTTTTATTCGTTGCATTTTGGTACTTATTACCTGTTTCGTCGTTGCTTTTAACTCTCAGTTTGCGAGGCCGGCCCCGCGGCATAGTTCCAGTACTCAGGGCGGGTGTGCTGTGAACGGTTTGCCTTTCAAAATGGCGACTCGGTCATCTGTAGACAGCATCGTACCCAATGAAGACACACAGCTGCACGGAGTAGGGAGACATCTACCGTTAGGTAGGTACATTGTACATGCATCTTCAGGTTCACACAAAAAACACAATTTTTCAGTTTTACTGATAAGGGAGTGGGTTACTTCATAATTATGATAAAAACTATTAGGCAAACAGTTAATATTTAAAATATAAGCCTACACCGTCAAAGCCAGTTTAGCTGTATTACTTTTAACTTGTGTTTGTTGTTGTCAGTTATTGTAAATTAATATAGGAACATATAGCCTACATTATTTAGAATTGTTTTACATTTCAGTGTAATATTATGTGGCCTGCACATAAATTGTTTTGTCTTTAGTTTTGAGGTATTAAAAAGGGAATAGTTGAGCAACCTGCACAACTCAAGCACATTAATAACTAAAATAACAAGGCCCCAGAGATGATTGCTGCATATTCACCTGCTCTATCTACTATACATTAAACATAATGTGCACATTCATAAATCATTTTATGTTTAACCAGGAAATTAACCGATAGCATATTTGACTTTGAAACCCAGTTGGTAAATCTAGCCTGGTAGGGGTACAATAGGCCTACTAAATAAACTGACAAAAGTAAACGTTTGAAAGTGGACATGCAAAAAGCAACACAAAACAGCAAACCGATCATTCCAAAAGTAACAATCTAGCAAACTATTAGAAAACTAAAAAAGTGATGATATAGCATAGTTTGTTTGGATATTGTTTTTTATTAATTATTTTACACCTTATTTTACCACTGTCCCAGACCACACACACACACAAACAAAAACAAAAAAACCCACATTCAATAAACCAGATTATATATTATTACAAACATACTATAGTCCTACTGAAATGCATCAAGATAATTTGTTGTAACATCCTCTGGATACTATAGAAAATAAAAAAAACTATATGAAACTCAGTATTGATTGCCAGTGACTCACAAAGTACCTTTAGAGATATTCATGCGATATAACAGATAGGCCTACCAGGATAATAAAAATATATCATGAAATACTGTATCATAAAGTGACTATAAACTTCTGCAAACCTTAATTTAAGTCAGACATAAACATATCATGCATACATACATTTTATATGTTAGTCTTGCACCCACAACGGAGAGACATAGACAGTATATTATATAATACATTTTATGCAATATATTGATTTTTCAAGAGGGTATGAAGAACGTTTTAAAAGGATTTTACTCTCCATTAACACCAGCAGAGGGAGGCAATGAGTTATGAATAGCTCAGGTCATTTATGGGCCAATATTCCTGGTGATGACAACAAGCTGAGCTGTGCTGGTGTGGTGTCCATTACATTATTACATTACATGTCACTTTTATCCAAAGCGACTTACATACTCAATACTGTGGGCAATCCCCACAGGAGCCATTTGGGATGAAGTATCTTGCCCAGGGACACAACGACATGCTGACTGCAGTGGGGTTTGAACCTGTGACCCCCTGATCCAAACACCAAGGCTCTCTACCCACTGCACCACACGCCTCCATGTTTAGGATTGTGCTACTCATCTCTACTTCCTGAACCATTTACACCGATTTTCTCTGAATCTGAATGAGTTAATTACTCCCGGCAAATTGGTATGTGTTGAATGGCCTACCTTCAGTGGAAAGTTGGAAACTGATCTTACATTCCAAGTGAAAGACACACAGGCAGCTCACACACAGAAAGAAACACAGGATGACTTCGGTAATGTTTGAGATAAGATCCTTGACTCAATTCAAATCATTTTTTGCCTTGGATGTTTATAATGTAATATGGACACAGTAGCCAAGAGAATATATTCTTTCAATTGACACAAATAGGCACTCTATATTAGGGCTGCACGATTTGGGGAAATAATCTAATTGCGATATTTGTTTTTAAGCGACCCAACAGACGTTTATTGTAAAATGCGGCCATATCTCCGGCTAGGAAGGTCGTATCAACGTGCTCCCGTCTCTAGCACCCCCACAGCCCGAGCTACGAGTGAAAGAACTAAACTTAGATGAAACTTCCGTTGGGTTGCTTTAAAGTCCAGCTTCAGTTTAAGATTCACCCTGTAATAGAAACATGTGATGGAGCATCACTAACCTGACTCAGATGGTTTGTTTCACCAAACCATCTAGGAAAGCTCCATTGGAAGCCATTTGGAAAAGTATTTCAAAAATACTTGGCAGGTGATTGGATCAATCTGTCTATCAACTTCTATCATGGGCCACTTCTGATTGGTTAATAATGACTGGTACATGTGGAGCACAGCACTTCTGATTGGTGAAGATGACTGACACACAAGAAAGAAAGAAAAAGAATCGCAGGCTTTGCATTTGATAATTGCATCATTTAAAATCGCGATTTCGATTTAAAATCGATTAATCGTTCAGCCCTACTCTATATATGGAATGCAAACAATTAGGGTGCAGGGCAGAGTGTTAAAATAAAGATAGAATGAGAGGGTACAGTATATGGGCGTCCAGAGTGACACTGAGCATATTCATTTAGTATTGATTGATTGATTCTATTTTGTCAAGTCACTTGTCAAATATTATAATGTTTTTTTAGATTGTGGAAAACTAGAATGTCAGGTAATCTTTAGGAGTGTAACAATACATTGTTCTTAAAAAATATGTCAACGACCCAAATTCATCGACACAGTGAATACATTAATAGACACCATCTTCATCTTTAAGGTGCCTATATTTTTGAAATTCCCATGGCAAGCTCACCTCCTTCCTACATAGCTCAGTAATCATATTGTCAAATTATACACTGGTATAAGTACCTGTACGAGGATGCATAGTAGTATTATCATTTGCTAACGATCATAAAATGGAATTGGTTGAAATTACTTATTTTTCTGAATCTAAACTATTAATGAAAAGTCAATAGTTTAGAACTCATACTGTATCACAAAACATAAATCAATATTTTGTTCCCTCCCTTGTTTATACAGTATTTAGTGTAATGCTTTAAGAAATCATCAAGGACAAATCCACACATGTACATTATGTCTAGTTCGACCTTATTGAATGATTAAATTCAAATACACACAAACACACTTAGGATTATGTGCAATTTAAAGAGTGTTTTGACTTTAAACCCTCCTACCTGGTCACCTACATGTAAACCACAGATCTAAGAATTACATTTTTGAAATTTGTCTCAATGGCAAGCAAAATAGTTGGTAAATCCTTAATGGCCTTGACTCAAATGTTAACAGATAGGACAAGAAGAGTATATCCTGGCAGATAACGCCCATCCTTTATTCAGCCAGTTTGAGCTCTTGAGCTCCGGGCAGTGCTATAGAGTCCTTTTGGCCACTAAAAACATATACCTTTAAGTATCATTTATTTATCTCAAATTTCATCGATACCCTGAGATCTAACCGCAGACATTGACATGCTGTTTTTATATACTGTTGTGTCTTCTGTTTTGTTGAGCCGCAGACATATTTCCACCCTGGATTACATAAGAGATGTATTGTATTGTATTATCATGTCCATAAATAGATGCCTATCATGTATCTTAAGCAGGACATAAATCATATTGAATATGGGCCCCATTGCCTCAGAAACATGTTCGCCTGATAAAGGCACACAGGTAGAAAGCCGTCGCACTTTCCTGTATTTTTCTTTGTTTCAATAAAAGGGGAAGTCAGCCTCTAGACTTCTAGTGAATAAGCAGCCAACCACATTCATGTTCATTGTGTAAGAACATCTGTTCCTGCCAGGCCGCCGGTTACTCCGCGCGTCCCCTCGCGGCTGCACACAGGCCACGGATCTCACCACTGGAAACAAAAGACTGGACATCACTCTGACCTTGTGGGATTGTCCACGCCCCTCTTTCCTCCCTCTCCTTTTCTTTTCTCTCTGTGGTTCGGCTCTCTTCCCTCTCACCGCTGTCAGGAGCAGGGTGATCAATCATTCAAATTGTCACAGGCTCTGGGAGTGGGATTGTCAGGAAGCCCACCTCCTGAAGGAGCCATGTTGTGGAAAAACATACCGACAGTGAGTGAGAGTTGCTGTCGTTGAGTCACATCTCTAGTCTTGTCATTCATTCTAACAAGCCTCACCAACGGCACAGACATCAATGATACTGGTCGCACTTTTCCACAGGGCTAGACATGAGTCAGACTTGAAAATGTGGTGCCTGTTTGCAGCACTTTGCAGATGAGGTATCTGGTGAAAAACTGCAATCAGAAGCTTCTGTTGCAGGTTAATGAGTATTCACAGCTACAACAGAAACAACCATTGCCTGGAGGGTGTCCTTGCTGATTTTGGCTTTTACGTTTCCTTTTTAAAAAATAGGACTTTGTTGTCTGTATAAGTCAGACTGAAACAAAGGATAAATTCAGACACAATATTCTCCATACGTAGCACAAGTCAGGTAGAATTTCTCAATGACGTTGTGGGGAGACGGGTGTCTTACAATGACCCCATGGAATGACCTTGCTCAGTAACATTTCACATTCTGCCAGTGCTGCTTCTCCCAGGTGTGGCAGAGTCTCCCCCTGCGCTGTCTGAGAGCACCGTCCGCATCCATGAAACCAATCATTCTTCGGCATCACGGAAACAGCTTCTGACAGCCGCGGTCGCCATGGGCGTCCTCCCCTGTGACCAACCTCGACGGGGGACCGGGGAGGTAAGGCCATGCTTGGCAACACTCCCCCGCCTTCCAGGGCTCTGCTTTAGTAAGGAAGCTTTTACCCATGCAAAATATTTCATTTTATTGTGAAAATCCAAGACACAATATTCTCAAACTAACCTGATATCATTGTTGATTATGAAATTGTGTCTCCACAAATGAGGAGCCAGAAGAAGAAAAAAATGCCGCATATTAAAATGTAACATCTCAAAGTCAGTAATTGACACCAGAATGAATAAGAATTGCCAACGCAAATTATTTCTTACGTTTTATTGTGAAAACCCAAGACACAATATACTCAAACTAACATGTAATGCTTGTTGTAATGCAAC